GCATTGTTGGTGATGTTTCTGTGTACTTTTAAAATGTTTTTGCAAAATTCTGCATGCAGAGTCTCAATTGGATGTTTGTCCCCTTTGTCGAATTGTTGATTAGTTAGCGGACCCCATGCTTCGTTGCCATAAAAGGCAGTTGGTTCAATTACTGACTCAAATATTTATAGCCAAATTCTGATTGGAATTTCTACAAAAAATTGTCGTTTTATGGCAAAGAAAGCCCTGCGAGCTTTTTCTCTCAGTTCATTCACTGCCTGATGAAAATTACCTGAAGAACTGATTTTGATGCCTAAATAATTATAGTTTGAGGAGTGACTAATTTGGTTTGTGCCTAACCTAAATGTGTGTTGTTTTCCCTGAGATCTGGATCTTTTCTGAAATATCATTACTTTTGTCTTTTTCAGGTTTACTGCCAGGCCTGCTCCAGCAGGTCCAGGTTCTGCTGTAGGCCCTGCTCTGTGGGGGACAGCAGAACCAGGTCATCTGCAAAGAGCAGGAATTTAATCTCTGAGTCGTGCAGAGTGAGACCGGGAGCTGTGGACTCCTCTAATATCTTCGCCAATTCATTAATATAAATATTAAATAATGTTGGGCTTAAACAGCAGCCCTGTCTCACTCCGCGCTCCTGGGAGATGGAGTTTGTTTGTTTATTGCCAATTTTTATGCCGCATTCAAACCAATCATCTTCTTTTCTGAGTTTGTGTTTTGATCTCTTTTTAAATTTCAGTTTAGCCTTTTCTGCAGTTTTGTCAAAAATCATATTTATATGTTTTACTGCCAGATTGACTCCTTCTTTACTGTGAGTGTATGTGGTGTCCAGAAAGCTGTCTAAAAGTGTTCTCGGATTGCTTTCTGGAACTCCTCTGTGCTGTTTTGGGCCCATCTGTATGGCCTCCTGATGCTGTACAGCTCACTGGGCTGAGTGTGTGCAGTGCTGTTAGTCTCTGTCCTTTTAATGAACACAGTGTTTGGCTGTGGTCAGACAGAGGGGTTAGGGCTTTAACAGTGAATGCACTGAGAGAGAAAGGGTCTAAGTCTGTTATCATATAATCTACTGTACTATTTCCAAGAGGTGAGCAAAACGTGTATCTTCCTAAAGAATCCCCTCGTAACCGTTGACGATGTACAGACCCAGACTGTGACAGAGCTGCAGGAGGTTTTTACCACTTCTGTTGACCATATAATCTTGGTTGTTTCTGTGGGCATAAGGAAGGTTGTCGTTAGTGTGCAACATTTTATTTTTAATATATTTGTCATGTTTTGTGTTTATGAAATCGGGCTGTGTTCCGGTTCTAGCATTTAAGTCTCCACAGACGAGCACATTTCCCTGGGCCTGGAAATGGCACACCTCTTTTTCTATATCTGGGAACATCTCTTCACAGAAGTATGGTGACTCTGCTGGAGGGATATAAATGGTACAGAGAAATATGTCTTTCTTTGAAGACACTAATGTCTTTTTAATTTTAAACCAAACATGGTATTTTCCAGCTTTCACTGTATCTAAAAAGCTGTGTATTTTTTCTTTGTACCATATGATTATTCCTCCTCAGTCTCTGCCCTGAGACTGAGGAGGGACAGTGAGTGAGTGGCCATATCAGTCCTACACCATGTCTCTTGTAAAATAACAATGTCAGTGTTTTTGATATTGGATTGAAAATCTTTGTTTAGACTTTTTAGTCCAAAGACTGAGGAGTTTAGACCTTGAATGTTCCACATACTAATTGAAAGTGAAGCCATGTTCATAGGTCAGTCCCTTTTTTTCTTTAAAATGAGATAAACAATGAAAACTATATCAACTTCAAATATATAACTATGTAATTTTTGTTATTTCATATGTGAAATAGATAAGCGAGTAGTAGCTACGTTAGGAAATTCTTAATAGTTTTAGATCATGAAACAACAGTGTAATAAAAGCATGTGGTATTTACATAATATGTTTTGTACAGATGTATTCTAGTAGCTGTTTGATTTCACTCATCTGTGTAAAGTTCTGTGGAGTTTGGAGGGCTTCAGCGTAGCTGCGCTGTAGGACACTGTCCTGGGAGAGAGGGGCTGCTCGAGGTGTGGGTTCGGATTGATGCTGGTGTGCTGGTCTGGTTGGTGGTGGGCGCTGAGCTAGTCCATATGATAATATATAATATATTGTAATACAGTGTAGCAATTATATTGGTGTGGTTGGATGGGGCTGTAGTGTTGGTCTAGGTGTCACTGGGTGAGCTGGTCCAGTTGGTGGGGAATGATGTGTAGGCTGAGGTGGACCGTGCTGTCCTGGCAGGTGTCGACCTCTCAGGAAGTGTTTATAGATGACTGGGCTGACGGCTGCATATCTGTGGCGGTGTGGCTGCGGTTTTAGGGACTCTGCTCTGTGTTGCTGTACTGTGTAGGAACGCCTGCCATGTGCAACATCTTTAAGTGTTCTGGCGAATTCCTTTATCATGTGCTTGCTTAGGTGCACATGGTCATAAAGGTGGTAGGGGGTGATGGTGGAGTGGTGGGCCAGGTGTACATTGGGCAGGAGGGCACATCCTCTAGAGATGTCTGCGTTGACCCTCTGGATGGTGGCAGGGTGGAAGTCCTTGCGGGGCAGCAAGGTAGAGATGATAATTTTGGCGTAAGGAAAGGATTCAGCAGCTCTCTCTGCTACTCTGCACACCAGTCCTCCGACTCTCTCTTACTCTAGTCTGAGGTCATTGGTGCCAGTGTGGATAATCATGTATTTGGGAGTGCCGAGGTTGGGGTCAGAGAGTATTCTGTGGGCATCTCTTATTTTTGGGCACCAGATTTTCGATGTTGTTTGACCTGGGAAGAGCTTGTCCTCTTGTAGGAACTTTCCACTGGAGTCGATCAGAATAGCGACATCAATGTCTTTTCCTGTAGACAGTCTGCTGCTGTGCTGCTCTGCTGTTTCCTCTGCTGTAGGGTTCCTCACCTTTTTGGGCAGGTCTCTAGGTGTTTCAGAGGGCGGCTCAGGATGGTCTTGCTGTGTGATGGGCAGATTTTGAGTGGTGCTGGGAGAAAGCTGGGGAGCAGTGTGGGGGGTGTTCAGCTGTTTAGTGGGTGTCTCTATCTCTGGCGCAGCTCATCTTTGAGGCTAACAGTCTCTCTTTTCAGTTCCTGTTTTATTTGTTCCAGCTCTTCTGTTGTGTTGACTCTAACGTTTGTCAGTTCATTTTTCAGGGCTTCCTTCTCCTGTAGCAGGTTTTCTATGTCCCCTTTCAGATCCTGTACAGACAACTTTAGCTGGTTTGTGGTCTGGCTGAGCTGGTTTGTGGTCTGGCTGAGCTGGTTTGTGGTCTGGCTGAGCTGGTCCCTGAGGAAGCTCATGTCAGTGCTGGTGCTTATGTGGGTGTGAATGTGCTCCCTCAGTTCCACCAGCTCCACTTCAAGCAGGGAGAGGCTGTTCCTGGTCTCAGCTACAGTGGAGTGGAGGCGTGGGCTCGTGGGAGGGGCAGTGCTGGCTGAGGGGGTGCTGTGTTCTACAGAGACAGTGGGGTGGTGGGGGGCTCTGTTTCTCTCTCAGCTTGTAGTAGTTTGGGCGTGGGGGCTGGACTGTGGGCTTCTGCGCTTTCACATTCAGCTAGAGCTGTGAGACGGGGAAAGGCCCCTTCAAGCTTCAGCAGTGCCTCCTCGCTGCCCTGCACCATCACTGTACCGTTCTGGTATAAATTCACTGTTAGAAGCCGATTTTCAGAGTCTTCGTCGGCATCCTCAAAAATATATATTTGACGGCCTTTGCAGATCCCTCGTTTTGTGGTGTGCGTGAAGTATTTCCGTAGAGCTGAATGCCATGCTGTACTGCGTTCAGTGTAAAAGAGCAGGTTGGTGGTGGTTCTTTTCCCTTTGATTATACTGCAGTCTTTAAACAGAGTCTCAGTGTTTTCTCTCTGTGTTTTCTGTTTATGCTGCTGTCTGCTGCTGTCAGAGCAGATCTCTGTGGGGAACTCTAAAGCGCGGGAGGGCGGAGCTGCTGCTGCCATTGTAATACAGTGTAGCAATTTTTTTTGAAAAATGCCAGCAGCTCGGTCGGCCAATCAGAGGAGGCAGTAACTGTCAGATTAGCAGCCTCTGCAAACTTGGCGCATTTAGCAATGTCTGGTCAGTTTTTCTTTTTCTTTTCCTCTTTATTTCACCTACACCCGTATGGTGTTACGCTCTACTGTCTATGAGTCTCTTCTGGTGTTCTTAAATGTTTTTCTTACCCCTAATGTGAGGCAGAGTTCTGGGGCCGTCTGAGTTCAGACTCCGGGCGTCACTCCGCTCCTGTTTTCTATCTGTTTAGTCCCTGTTTCTTTCCACTGCTGTTCCTTAAAGCATCTTTAAGTTTATTCCAGTAGGTTTGTAGGTCCCTGTTCAGGTTCTCTTCTCTTGTCTCCTATCCTCCCTGTCTTGGTTTCCTTTTCTTCCTGATGCGTCCTGGTGCGTTTGTCTCTTGTGCTAACGGCTAACGGCTGCTCTCCTAGCTAGTCTCCTTTTGTTATTTATTTTCTTTGTTTTTCTGTCTAATTACGTTAACATCAGTTCAAATTCACATTTACTGTTGATAATTTGTTTATATGTTGTTTGTTTTCTGTGATTTATCTCATTTTAAAATAAAAACTTGTAAAAGTTTTAAGAGCTCTCTCTCTGTGTCTCTCTCTCTGTCTCTTTCTCTCTGTCTCTGTCTGTCTCTCTCTCTCTCTTTCTCTTTCTCTCTGTCTCTCTCTGTCTGTCTCTCCCTCTCTCTCTCTTTGTCTCTCTCTGTCTGTCTCTCTGTCTCTGTCTCTTTCTCTCTGTCTCTTTCTCTCTCTCTCTGTCTCTCTCTCTCTGTCTCTCTCTCTCTGTCTCTCTCTGTCTCTTTCTCTCTCTCTCTTTCTCTCTCTCTCTGTCTCTCTCTCTCTGTCTCTCTCTGTCTGTCTCTCTCTGTCTGTCTCTCTGTCTCTGTCTCTTTCTCTCTCTTTCTCTCTCTCTCTGTCTCTCTCTCTCTCTCTGTCTCTCTCTGTCTGTCTCTCTCTCTGTAGATGTGTGTAACAGTACTGATCTCCCGGAGGTGGAGATTATCAGTCTGCTGGAGGAGAAGTTGCCGGTTTACAGGCTGAGAGCCGACTGTGTTTATGGATATGATCACGACGACTGGCTGCACACTCCACTCATCTCTCCGGACACGCGCATCGACCTGACCACAGAGCAGATCGAAGAGACCCTCAACTACTTCCGTAAGTGACATTCTGCACTCTGAGCTACTGACCGTCTGCAATGCAGCTCACATCTGCTCAGCACATCTGAGAGTGATTACTGAATATAGAAGTTAATCAGTAATTCATAGTTGATACTGAATAATTAATAGTTGATGCTGACTAATTCACAGTGGATACTGAATAATTCATAGTGGATACTGAATAATTCATAGCAGATACTGAATAATTCATAGTAGTTACTGAATAACTAGTAGTAGATACTAAATAATTCATAGTGGCTACTGAATAATTCATAGTAGTTACTGAGTAATTGATTATAATGAATAATATTAATAATAAATTATAAAAATTAATAATAATCTTAAGATTCAGATTGAACTGTATTCCAAACACAATAACATGATGTAAGCTCTATATATTGATATTAATATAGTAAGTGGATGTTCAGCTGTGACCTTGTAGATTAGGGTTAACCTAACTTTATTTATTTGTTTATTTGCACAAAGTTTGTTTTCTATTTTTTTCTCACTCTGAGTAGAAAACAGATAACAGTGTCCATCATCTCTGCATTCAGAACTCAGTCCGTTCTGACTCTGCAGGCTGAGTGTTTAAGCGTAATCAGCTTTGTACTATATATAGAATATAAAGCAGTGAGATTTAGAGTTTAATGTGTTATAGTTTAGTTAGTTCAGTTAGTGTTTATGATTTATATAGTTTATTATAGTGTATAATTGGGATGCTGCAGAGTTAATAAAACCCTCATTTGATTAAACAGGTCATGACCCCTTTATACAGCTCCAGATAGAACTTTGTGCTGGTTCCTCCACAGTGGTGTGAATTGATTGGGCAGTATTGACTCAGGTAATCAATGTTATTGTTGAATAAACGCTGCTGTGGTGTTGCTTGGTCATGAGCCCTGAGATCTGACTGTTTGACCCCCTCGTTCCACTCAGAGACCTTGATGCTTGCAGGAAGCTTGATGATCTCGCTGATGGTTTATTAAAGTGTTCATTAAACTGAGTCAGTAAATCTGAAGTGCAGTTGGACTGTTATCTCTTTGTAAATGTCTGACGTCTGAATTTGCTCCTGTGTGCAAACAGATCTTCAACTCTCAGCTTCATGCACAACAAATTGGTGTTAAAAGCTCATATCAAAGCTCTTTTGGTCCAAAGGTGCTTTAAACACCTGAAAGGTTTGAGAGCTGAAGAGTGATGACATCACAACAAGGGGAGAAAGTGGGCGTGGCCTCTGGTTTATTCCCAAGCTCATGCTGTCACAAATATTACCATAAATATGTAGATATTGTTTTCTCTAAACAGAAACCTTTGCAGACAAAGATAAACCAGCTTTCTACACAAAACGAAAACAAGTTCATTTATTAAAAACACTGTGTTCCTAAACTTTTGACCGGCAGTGTGTGCTGCACATCACTGGGAGATCATCTGGAGGTTCAGCGTCATTAGGTCTGAAGAAGCATTTTCACTGCCTAATTACTTTGTTAGGATTTAATTTAGATTCCAGACAATTTGATAAGAGAAAATATTAAATTACTGTGTGCAGCATGATTTGAATCTGCCTTCCAAAATGTCCTTCACAGTGAATCTGCAGTACAGTTTATAAATCAGTTGGAGAAATATGTCTATAAAGAGCTCCTGTTTTAAGTTGTATTAAACTAATAATTCATGATTAGTTTTGTTACAGTGGGTAATTTATCTGTGTATTCAGTGCTGATACAGTAAGTCAGCTGCGCGCTGAGCGCAGATCAGTCCACTTTACATCTTTATAGATCAATCATACATCCATATACAAGCTGTAACATGGACCTGATATTGATATGAATTTTCCATGTTCGTGCCAACCTCTTTCACAGTGTGCCCCGAACTTTTTAACACAACTTTGAATGCACTGCGTTGCTTTTTCATTGAAGATTCATATGAAATTATTTTAAGATCCCACTCTGAGTCTGAGGATGTGTTAAGAGTCTGAGGACAGGTTTGGTGTCTGAGGACGTGTTTGGAGTCTGACGACATGATTGGAGTCTGAGGACATGACTGGAGTCTGAGGACATGATTGGAGTCTGAGGACGTGTTTGGTGTCTGAGGACGTGTTTGGAGTCTGACGACATGCTTGAAGTCTGAGGACATGACTGGAGTCTGAGGACATGATTGGAGTCTGAGGACATGATTGGAGTCTGAGGACATGATTGGTGTCTGAGGACGTGTTTGGAGTCTGAGGACGTGTTTGGAGTCTGACGACATGCTTGAAGTCTGAGGACATGACTGGAGTCTGAGGACATGATTGGAGTCTGAGAACATGATTGGAGTCTGAGGACATGATTGGTGTCTGAGGACGTGTTTGGTGTCTGAGGACGTGTTTGGTGTCTGACGACATGATTGGAGTCTGAGGACATGATTGGAGTCTGAGGACATGATTGGTGTCTGAGGACGTGTTTGGTGTCTGACGACATGATTGAAGTCTGAGGACATGATTGGAGTCTGAGGACATGACTGGAGTCTGAGGACATGATTGGAGTCTGAGGACATGATTGGTGTCTGAGGACGTGTTTGGTGTCTGACGACATGATTGAAGTCTGAGGACATGATTGGAGTCTGAGGACGTGTTTGGTGTCTGAGGACGTGTTTGGAGTCTGAGGACATGATTGGAGTCTGAGGACGTGTTTGGAGTCTGAAGACATGATTGGAGTCTGAGGACGTGTTTGGAGTCTGAGGACGTGTTTGGTGTCTGAGGACATGATTGGAGTCTGAGGACATGATTGGTGTCTGAGGACGTGTTTGGAGTCTGAGGACATGATTGGAGTCTGAGGACGTGTTTGGAGTCTGACGACATGATTGGAGTCTGAGGACGTGTTTGGAGTCTGAGGACGTGTTTGGATTCTGAGGACATGATTGGAGTCTGAGGACATGTTTGGAGTCTGAGGACGTGTTTGGTGTCCTTAGTTTGCTTCTTTAGTTTTAGCTCTTAACTCTATTAGCTCTAAAACGGCTCTTCATTAGCTGCACTGTTCTAGATATTGTATATTATCTCATTTTTTGAAGTTAAATTTTATTCTACCTTTTGATGAAATAATAAACAAATATTGTGTTATGATTGTTTAAAATCGTCTGTATAATTTGTCAGCTGTTTAGTTTAATAAGTAGATTCATTTCGAGAGGCAGGGATCACAACAATCATGAGAGTCAGACAGGCAAACTGTACACACTTAAACAAGATGGTTCTTCAAGGGTTCTTCAGTAAAGGCAATGGTTCTGTTTAGAACCAAGAGTTCCATATAGAACCTTTCCCATGGTTAAATGGTTCTGCAGGTTCTGAATAGAATCTTTACTTTTATTAAGGGACACTTGAATAACAATCTAGTGTGTAGCAAATCCATCAACTGGTCATCTAACAAAGTCAAAAATCAGAACCTATGAGCCACACGTGGAAACACGGCGGAGATTTACACGAAAACCAGAACGAAGGACAAAATCAGAGACAAGTCAACACAACAAGAAGCAGGTGTTGGGGATAATGAGGGGGTGGAGCCGGAATGTTCCACAAGGGAGGCTTCTGTGAATTTCAGCTACAGTGTCAACATCCACATATTTGTTTACAAGACAGAGAGAGAGAGAGAGAGAGAGAGAGAGAGAGAGAGAGAGAGAGAGAGAGAGGGAGACAGAGAGAGGGAGACAGAGAGAGGAGAGAGAGAGAGACTGAGAGAGAGAGAGAGAGACAGAGAGAGAGAGAGAGAGAGGGAGACAGAGAGGGAGAGAGAGAGAGACTGAGAGAGACAGAGAGAGACAGAGAGAGAGAGAGAGAGAGAGACAGAGAGAGAGAGAGAGAGGGAGACAGAGAGGGAGAGAGAGAGAGACTGAGAGAGACAGAGGGAGACAGAGAGAGGGAGACAGAGAGAGGAGAGAGAGAGAGACTGAGAGAGAGAGAGAGAGACAGAGAGAGAGAGAGAGAGAGAGGGAGACAGAGAGAGGGAGAGAGAGAGAGACTGAGAGAGACAGAGAGAGAGAGAGAGAGAGACAGTACTTAATTTACAGATTAAATCCGCTCAATGCGCGTCGGCTCTCAACGCTCACCCAAAAGAGCCGATTCAATAAGTCAACTTGTTCATGAATCACTAACAGTGACGCATGTCAGATCACACGCTCAGGCCAGAGCGATCAATCACAGCATTGATTAGAGGATCCGAGCTCTGCTGCTTCTGATGCAAACACACTGAGATAAACAGATCAGCTGAAGCCGCTCTGAGTGAGTTAGCATTAGCATTAGCCTGTTTCCACTCTGTTAATAGGTTTGTGTTTTAGGATGGTTTCAGCTAAGAGTCAAATCAGTGAATAAAACATAAACACCAGATCGGCCGAGTCAATGTTACCAATGATCAGCACAGATTAGCCTGAGTTATGAATTCTAGCAGAATAGCTGCCACATTTTCTAGCATTTCTTTTCTTGTCAACCTGTTTTGCATTTTCTCACCTGTTTTGCGAGGATCTCATGAGGCAGCATTGCTAATCAAAACTAACACAACAAACTTGATTACTGTCCTAAAACAGTAACAGCTGGAAATGCGGCTCTTTAGCTGACGTAACAGAATTAGCGTTTAGCGTTCACCTCTGAGCATGTTGAGCTCTAGTGATGTTGCATTAGCGGCAGTTTAAGAAGCTTCACTCAGTAACTCAGTGTGTTTTGGTGATAAACTTGTTTTGAAAGTTGCGACTGTAAACTCGGGCGATGGTTCGGTCCTGCTGGTGTGGGTTCACGACTATTTCTTCTCTAATTGATGAACACTAAAGCAGCTTGTGTGCTAATAGCACCCCTGCTGGAGATACTTCAGACTGCTAGATGAGAGTTTTAAAGCCACGCCCACCTGCTTTACATAATAAAAAACAAGGAGTTTTTCTGTTGTTCAGCTTTAGATGTCTTTAGGAAAACATATTTTCATAATTTTTCAACTTCTAGTATGTAATATTATTTAACTTTAGAGCAGAGCAACACAGTAAAATAAAACCAATTTTGATCACTTTCACTTTCTCTAAAATTTTTTGGTGTTCATAGTGATCAGGAGGTGGAGTCTGTGAATGTCCCACCCACATCACCACTCTGGTAACAGTTTATCACAAATTCGTCCCTCTGCAAACGCAGCTCCATCTCTGAGAGAACCGGTTACACATCTTACAGTTTCATTTACTAAAATGTTTAACAGCACAGTGACAGTCAGACAGTCACAGTCAGACAGTTACAGTCACACAGTCACAGTCACACAGTTACAGTCACAGTCAGTCACAGTCATAGTTACAGTCTCACAGTGAGTCTCACAGTGACAGTTACAGTCACACAGTCGCAGTCAGTTACAGTCACACAGTCAGTCACAGTTAGTCTCACAGTGACAGTCACAGTCACACAGTCGCAGTCAGTTACAGTCACACAGTCAGTCACAGTTAGTCTCACAGTGACAGTTACAGTCACACAGTCACAGTCAGTTACAGTTACACAGTTAGTCACACAGTTACAGTCTCACAGTGACAGTCAGACAGTCACAGCCAGACAGTTACAGTCACACAATCACAGTCACACAGTTACAGTCACACAGTGACAGTCAGACAGTCACAGTCACAGTTACAGTCACACAGTGACAGTCAGTCACAGTCAGACAGTTACAGTCACACACTCTCTCTATCTCTCTGTCTCTCTCTCTGGCTATAGTAGTGGTCTCTCTCTCTCTCTTTCTCAGAGCGGTTAGCATTACTGTACAGTGTTATTAGAGCAGCTATAGCCTCCATTCTCTTTATATAACAGCCCCTCCCTCCACTTTCACTGAGGCCAACAGGAGAGAGAGAAAGAGAGCGTAATGGACAGAGAGGATGGACAACACTGTGGAGGATGAGTACTTTGAGCTGGAGTGGTTCTATGAGGAGTTCACTGATGGTAAAGTGTGTGTGTGTGTGTGTGTGTGTGTGTGTGTGTGTGTGTGTGTGTGTGTGTGTGTTGTGGAGCTCTGTAAAGACTATAACTTTGTAGTTTACTGTCTCTCTCTGTCTCTCTCTCTCTCTCTCTCTCTCTCTCTCTCTCTCTCTCTCTCTCTCTCTCTGGGGTTTATTCATGTGTTTGTGAGTCATCATTTTTTATTATAAGCGTTAAACTCTATAATGAGGAACAGAGTGTGTTGTTGTTATTGTTGTTGTGAGGATTTTTCCACTCTGAGGAAACTGAATGCACCTCAGTGTTGACCATGTAGACATTAATACAGTCTGCTGTTATTAATGGAGAGGGTGTATCAGTGAGGGTCTCCATGGTTACAGAGGTGATATAATCAGAAACAGATGTGATGTGATGTGATGCGATGTGATGTGGGAGGTAATAAAAGAGTGAATGTGCTCTGATCCTGTAGCAGCGCTCTCTCTGACCGTGTGCTGTGATGTGATCTGTGTAGCTCTGTAGTGAGTTAGTGTGTATTTGGGGTAGTGATTGAGAATTTTAAAGCTTCCAGCTAAACTGTGTTTAGCTTAAACATTTTATAAACATTAACCTGTTAATGAAAGTCTAATAAAATTACTTGTTACATTATATAAGTAGTTCCATCTTTTTGTGAATGAACTGATTTACCACTCCTTTTTTAAACACTTGTATTTATGAGCTCCTGCTGGTGTGGGTTCATGACTCTTTATATGATGCACACAACAGCAACTTTCCATGACAACAGTGCCCCCTTCAGACTGCTAACATGTGTGAGTGTATGTGTGTTAATTAATAATTCCTTTTTAAAGCGACATCTGACTGTTTTTCGGTACTGCCACGTTTGTTAATGAATCAGCTCAGACTGCGCCCCCCCCCTTACAAAACCAGTGAAGTATTCAGATATTAGATATTTACAGTCATTATGTTCTGATTTGTTTAAACCCAAGGCATTAATATAGATATTAATAGGATAAATCTAAACAAAATTATGATATATTGGACTTTTCATTTGGAGGGGTCTGCATCTTTAAAATTTTTATTTAAATTATTTTATTTTTTAAAATATCTTTTTGAATTCTTTTAAAGTTGAAGGTTTTGGATTCATCATAAGTTTAATTCTTAAATAAAATAACATTTCAAAAAATGCTGTCCCATGTTTTCATGCCACTGCTGACAAAGAGTTTTAGTCTGTAGGCGGAGCCTTATTTAAGCCACACCCCTGCATTTTAGAGCAGGAAGTGAGTCTGCGTCCCTGTAACCCTCATGGCCACATGGTGAGCAGTTAGATCCCATTGTTTTGAAGTAAATGTGTCCCAAAGTCTGAAAATCAGTGTGGAACATTAAGAATCGGCATATTTTCTGCAGTTCAGCACTTTTTAGTGTTTTAATGTAAAATATGATGATTTTCTGTGTGAACAGCTGTTCAAAGCTGTGTTTGCTGGTCTGTACTGGCTGAGTTTCTGAGCTCAAAATGAGCTGAAATTGTCACTGAAACAGACACCACTGACACATTTGGTAACGTTTGGTAGAGTTATGATTGTTTTGGAATGTTCAATCATTAGTTTTAATATAATAAACATAATTAAGGTTTAGAGGTTTTAGTCTAAAGTCCAAGATCAGTTAAAAGTCTAAAATGTTTTTCAGCTCTGACTTTAAACCAGTTCAGCAGAATCATCTGTCTACAGTAAACAAGATTTATTGGCAAATTTTTTATATTCCTATATTTCAGTATCAGACAATACTGAAGGTTTCAGTATCATAATCAGAAAAAAAGTAATATTACTGCCAAAAAAATAAACTGAAAGATTAAACTGTGTTCATGTAATACTTTTATTAATGTGGAAATGATGTAGACATTTTAAACCATAGAGATCTGATTTAAACCAAGTTAAATTCAGTGCATGATTTTCTTCAGGCCAGGTGTTGCAGTGAAAATGTTCCTATTACACTGAGTGTCCTTGAACCAAACGTTCCAGCAGCTTCACACCTACGTTCACAGCAGATCCGTTAAAGAGCCATAAATAATCTGTACATCTGACCTCACATTGTTTAAACATATTTACTTGTAGTGTCAGTGAAATATGTAGTAAATAATTCAGAGCTGTAGTCAGAAAACATGGCTCTGTGAGGCTGTTCTGAGTTTCTGAGTGTGTGTTGATGAAACACTGCAGTGAGCTGATCTGATTCTGGCTGACTGTGGATGCAGTCGCCAGTCACTGAAGTTGTCATGGCAGCGGTTGCCGGGGTGATCTTGCCTGATTGAGCAGGGATGTTGGTGTTAGGAGGATAATGTAAGGTCAGCCGGGGAACGGTCAGTGTCTGTTCACGCAGGCCAACTTTCTACAGCACCCAACTCGCTAAAAAACTGATTTTGTGTTAGAAATGTGTTCATAACAACCAGAACGGTCTCCTGATATGGCGCTGTATCTTCTCAAGGCTGGAATTACATGTGCAGCCTTGAGAATGTTGCATATTTCCTCCTGAGAGTAAAGAGCTTCATTTTAACCCTCTGTTCTTCTGTACATGTCTGTGCTTGACCTTCAGTGCTATGTGCTGAACGAGTGGGCCAGATGACTAAGACCTACAATGACATTGATGCCGTCACCAGACTTCTGGAGGAGGTGAGCAGCCAGTCTGGCATTCATTCACTCTGAGATGCACAGCTTTTTATAAAAAGCCAAGCAGCTTTAGCAGCATTGAGAAGTCTGGACACCTCTACTCATAGACAGTTTTCCTTATTTTTACTCTTTTTCACATTTTAGAATAACAGTGAAGATATCAAAACTATGAAGTAACACATATGGAGCTACGCTGAGACCAAAAAGCGTTAAATAAATCCAAACTTCTATTTTAGGGTCTTTTTTTAACCTAGGTAGCGGCAGGTTTAGTGTGCTGAGTGAAAAACAGCAGTGAGTGTATCTGTGTCAGTAAAGATCACAGGACTGAGCGAATCTTTCACTGTGCAGAAAGAGCGAGACCTGGAGCTGGCAGCCCGGATTGGCCAGTCTCTCCTGAAGAGGAACCGGGCCTTGTCCGAGCAGAACGAGTACCTGGAAGAACAAGTGGGAGCCATCAGAGAGGAGGTGAGAAAGGCTGACCAATCAGAATCCACAGTTCCCTGAAGTGGAATTCAAGCCTGCGTCCTAAACATATATGAAATATTACGTCAAAAATAGAGCACCATCGTTACAAGTATAATCATTAGTGTAGTGTAGTATAGTATGGCATAATATAGTATAGTACAGTATAGCATAGTGTATTGTGGTATAATTAAGTATAATTAAGTATAGTATGATATTGCTTAGTATGTAGTATAGTATGATACTGTATAGTATGGTATGGTATAGTTTGCAATGATATAGTATATTATGATACAGTTTAGTGTGATATAGTATAGTATGATATGATACAATATAGTATGGTATAGTGTGGTATGATATAGTATTATGCAGTACAGTATGGTCCATTGTGGTGTGTTATAGTATAATATGAAACAGTATAGTATTGTATAGTAAGGAATATGACAGTACAGTATGGTATAGTGTGGTATAGTATAGTATTGAACATGCACTGGGGGGGCGGAGCTGTATAAATTAGACTTTTTGCTACATCATCACTTTAAGCCCAGCCCACATGTTGCCTTTTGACCCCGCCTTTTAAATACGTACTCTGTGCATGACTGTAAGAAGCAGCTTTGTGGATGCTGTTACTGTAAGAGGGGCGGAGCTTAGAGAGGAAACTGATCGATTGAGCACTGATATATTAGCTGAGCTCTGACTGACTGACTGACTGTCTGACTGACTGACTGACTGGTGCATCTCAACTAACTTTAATATTATTTTAGTAATTATATAGAGTAAATCTAATGACAGTTTCTCTCTCTCTCTCTCTCTCTCTCTCTCTCTCTCTCTCTCTCTCTCTCTCGCTCTCTCTCAGGTGGCTCAGCTCCATCATGAGTTAAATCTGAAAGATGAGCTTCTGCAGTTCTACACTAACGCTGCAGAGGAGAGTGAGGAGGAGGCAGTGTCTCCATCGTCCTCGTCAGTTCACTCCCTCACCAGACGTCCATTTATTTTAAAAAACTATTAGTCATTAGTGAATCAGTACTGCAGTACTGAACACTCTATTAGTCATTAGTAAATCAGTACTGCAGTACTGAACACTCTATTAGTCATTAGTGAATCAGTACTGCGGTACTGAACACTCTATTAGTCATTAGTAAATCAGTACTGCAGTACTGAAAACTCTATTAGTCATTAGTGAATCAGTACTGCAGTACTGAACACTCTATTAGTCATTAGTAAATCAGTACTGCAGTACTGAACACTCTATTAGTCATTAGTGAATCAGTACTGCAGTACTGAACACTCTATTAGTCATTAGTGAATCAGTACTGCGGTACTGAACACTCTATTAGTCATTAGTGAATCAGTACTGCAGTATTGAACACTATTAGTCATTAGTGAATCAGTACTGCAGTACTGAACACTCTATTAGTCATTAGTAAATCGGTACTGTAATACTGAATACTGTATTAGTCATTAGTAAATCAGTACTGCAGTACTGAACACAGTCATTAGTAAATCGGTACTGCAATACTGAATACTGTATTAGTCATTAGTAAATCGGTACTGTAATACTGAATACTGTATTAGTCATTAGTAAATCAGTACTGCAGTACTGAACACAGTCATTAGTAAATCGGTACTGTAATACTGAATACTGTATTAGTCATTAGTAAATCAGTACTGCAGTACTGAACACAGTCATTAGTAAATCGGTACTGTAATACTGAATACTGTATTAGTCATTAGTAAATCGGTACTGCAGTACTAAATACTGTATTAGTCATTAGTAAATGAGTACTGTAATATTGAATACTGTATTAGTCATTAGTAAATCAGTACTGCAATACTGAATACTGTATTAGTCATTAGTAAATCAGTACTGTAATACTGAATACTGTATTAGTCATTAGTAAATCAGTACTGCGGTACTGAATACTGTATTAGTCATTAGTAAATTAGTACTGCAGTAATGAGTACTGTATTAGTAATTAGTAAATCAGTACTGTGATACTGAATACTGTTTAGTAATTAGTAAATCAGTACTGCGGTACTGAATACTGTATAAGTTGTGTGTTTCCATGGTAACGTGTTGGTATGTGTTGTTCTTGGGTCAGGGGTCAGAGGAGCAGGGTAGTGGGGACGATCTCCAGCGGATCTTCACTGGACTTCCTGCAGAGGAAGCTGAGAGACCTGGAGGAGGAGAACATCTCGCTCAGATCAGAGGTTCAAACACAAAACCACTCACAGAGACACTTGAGACTCGCAGTTTAATCAGTTTAATCAGTTTAATCACAGTTTAATCAGTTTCATCACAGTTTCATCACAGTTTAATCAGTTTAATCAGAGTTTAATTGGTTTAATCAGTTTAATCACAGTTTAATCAGTTTAATCACAGTTTAATCAGTTTAGTCACAGTTTAATCACAGTATAATCAAAGTTGAATCACAATTTAATTGCAGTTTAATCAGTTTAATCACAGTTTAATCACAGCTGAATCACAGTTTAATAACAGTTTAGTCAGTTTAATCACAATTTAATCATAGTTTAATCAGTTTAATCGCAGTTTAATCACAGTTTAATCAGTTTAATCACAGTTTAATCAGTTTAATCACAGTTTAGTCAGTTTAATTGCAGTTTAATCAGTTTAATCACAGTTTAGTCAGTTTAATCGCAGTTTAATCACAGTTTATTTAGTGTGATCACAGTTTAGTCAGTTTAATCACAGTTTAATCAGGTTAATCACAGTTTAATCAGTTGAATCACAGTTTAATTGCAGTTTAATCGATTTAATCAGTTTAATCACAGTTGAATCACAGTTTAATCACAATGTAATCAGTTTAATCACAGTTTAGTCAGTTTAATCACAGTTTAATCACAATTTAATGATAGTTTAATCAGTTTAATTGCAGATTAATCACAGTTTAATCGCAGCTTAATCACAGTTTAATCAGTTTAATCACAGTTTTATCAGTTTAATCACAGTTTAGTCACAGTTTAATCAGGTTCATCACAGTTTAATCATAGTTTAATCATAGTTTAATCAGTTTTATCACAGTTTAGTCAGTTTAATCACAGTTCAGTCAGTTTAATCACAGTTTAATCAGGTTAATCACAGTTTAATCAGTTTAATCACAGTTTAATAACAATTTAATCAGTTTAATCACAGTTTAATCAGTTAAATCACAGTTTAATCAGTTTAATCAGTTTAATCACAGTTTAGTCAGTTTAATTGCAGTTTAATCAGTTTAATCACAGTTTAGTCAGTTTAATCGCAGTTTAATCAGGTTAATCACAGTTTAATCAGTTTAATCACAGTTTAATAACAATTTAATCAGTTTAATCACAGTTTAATCAGTTAAATCACAGTTTAATCAATTTAATCCGTTTAATCCGTGTAATCAGTTTAATCACTTTTTAGTCAGTTTAATTGCAGTTTAATCAGTTTAATCACAGTTTAGTCAGTTTAATCGCAGTTTAATCACAGTCTAATCAGTTTAATTGCAGTTTAATCCATTTAATCAGTTTAATCACAATTTATTCACAGTTGAATCACAGTTTAATCACAGTTTAGTCAGTTTAATCGCAGTCTAATCAGGTTAGTCACATTTTAATCATAGTTTAATCACAGTTTAATCACAGTTCAATCAGTTTAATCACAGTTTAGTCAGTTTAATCAGTTTAATCTGTTTAATTGCAGTTTACTCAGTTTAATCACAGTTGAATCACAGTTGAATCATAGTTTAATCAGTTTAATCGCAGTTTAGTCAGTTTAATCGCAGTTTAATCACAGTCTAATCAGTTTAATTGCAGTTTAATCCATTTAATCAGTTTAATCACAATTTATTCACAGTTGAATCACAGTTTAATCACAGTTTAGTCAGTTTAATCGCAGTCTAATCAGGTTAGTCACATTTTAATCATAGTTTAATCACAGTTTAATCACAGTTCAATCAGTTTAATCACAGTTTAGTCAGTTTAATCAGTTTAATCTGTTTAATTGCAGTTTACTCAGTTTAATCACAGTTGAATCACAGTTGAATCATAGTTTAATCAGTTTAATCGCAGTTTAATCAGTTTGCTTATAGTTTAATCACAGTTTAATCAGGTTAATCACAGTTTAATCATAGTTTAATTGCAGTTTAGTCAGTTTAATCACAGTTTAGTCAGGTTAATCAGTTTAATCGCAGTTGAATCAGTTTAATCACAGTTTAGTCAGTTTAATCCAAGTTTAATCACAGTTTAATCATAGTTTAATCAGTTTAATTGCAGTTGAATCACAGTTTAATCAGTTTAATCACAATTTAATCACAGTTGAATCACAGTTGAATCACAGTTTAACCAGTTTAATTGCAGTTTAATCAGTTTAATCACAGTTTAATCATAGTTTAATCATAGTTTAATCCGTTTAATTGCAGTTTAATCAGAATTTAATCAGTTTAATTGCAGTTTAATCAGTTTACTCACACTTTAGTCAGTTTAATCACAGTTTATTCACAGTTTAATTATAGTTTAATCAGTTTAATTGTAGTTTAATCCATTTAATCAGTTTAATCACAGTTGAATCACATTTTAATCAGTTCAATCACAGTTTAATCAGTTTAATCACCGTTTAATCAGTTTCATCACAGTTTAGTCAGTTTAATCAGATTAATCACAGTTTAATCTGTTTAATCACAGTTTAGTCCGTTTAATCAGTTTAATCAGTTTAATCACAGTTTAGTCAGTTTAATTGCAGTTTAATCAGTTTAATCACAGTTTAGTCAGTTTAATCGCAGTTTAATCAGGTTAATCACAGTTTAATCAGTTTAATCACAGTTTAATAACAATTTAATCAGTTTAATCACAGTTTAATCAGTTAAATCACAGTTTAATCAGTTTAATCCGTTTAATCCGTGTAATCAGTTTAATCACTTTTTAGTCAGTTTAATTGCAGTTTAATCAGTTTAATCACAGTTTAGTCAGTTTAATCGCAGTTTAATCACAGTCTAATCAGTTTAATTGCAGTTTAATCCATTTAATCAGTTTAATCACAATTTATTCACAGTTGAATCACAGTTTAATCACAGTTTAGTCAGTTTAATCGCAGTCTAATCAGGTTAGTCACATTTTAATCATAGTTTAATCACAGTTTAATCACAGTTCAATCAGTTTAATCACAGTTTAGTCAGTTTAATCAGTTTAATCTGTTTAATTGCAGTTTACTCAGTTTAATCACAGTTGAATCACAGTTGAATCATAGTTTAATCAGTTTAATCGCAGTTTAATCAGTTTGCTTATAGTTTAATCACAGTTTAATCAGGTTAATCACAGTTTAATCATAGTTTAATTGCAGTTTAGTCAGTTTAATCACAGTTTAGTCAGTTTAATCAAAGTTTAATCACAGTTTAATCATAGTTTAATCAGTTTAATTGCAGTTGAATCACAGTTTAATCAGTTTAATCACAATTTAATCACAGTTTAATCACAGTTTAATCACAGTTTAACCAGTTTAATTGCAGTTTAATCAGTTTAATCACAGTTTAATCATAGTTTAATCATAGTTTAATCCGTTTAATTGCAGTTTAATCAGAATTTAATCAGTTTAATTGCAGTTTAATCAGTTTACTCACACTTTAGTCAGTTTAATCACAGTTTGTTCACAGTTTAATTATAGTTTAATCAGTTTAATTGCAGTTTAATCCATTTAATCAGTTTAATCACAGTTGAATCACATTTTAATCAGTTCAATCACAGTTTAATCAGTTTAATCACAGTTTAATCAGTTTCATCACAGTTTAGTCAGTTTAATCAGATTAATCTGTTTAATCACAGTTTAGTCCGTTTAATCAGTTTAATTGCAGTTTAATCACAGTTTAATCACAGTTTAATCATAGTTTAATCAGTTTAATTGCAGTTTAATCACAGTTTAATCAGTTTAATCACAGTTTAGTCAGTTTAATCACAGTTTAATCAGTTTAATTGCAGTTTACTTAGTTTAATCACAGTTTAATTGCAGTTTAATCCATTTAATCAGTTTAATTGCAGTTTAATCACAGTTGAATCACAGTTCAATCACTATTTAATCAGTTGAATCACAGTTCAATCACAATTTAATCAGTTTAATCATAGTTTAATCACAGTTTAATCGCAGTTAATCACAGTTTAATCAGGTTAATCAGAGTTTAATCAGTTTAATTCCAGTTTTATCAGTTTAATCACAGTTTAGTCAGTTTAATCACAGTTTAATCAGTTTAGTCAGTTTAATCACAGTTTAATCACAGTTTAATCAGTTTAATCACAGTTTAATCAGTTTAATTGCAGTTTAATAAGTTTAACCACAGTTTCGTCAGTATTGGTGAATAAAAAGAACAGTCCGAACAGATGATGGTTAAAAGGTGAAGAAACTCAGAGTTTGGGTCAGAAGAGAGGACAGAGGAGCAGAGAGAGAAGCCCTCAGCCTTGGAGAGACCTGCACACCTAGACTCTCTCTCTCTGTCTCTCTCTCTCTCTCTCTGTCTATTACATGTTATATTTAAAAAAGAATTCCAGTTATCTTTCCTAAATTCCTCCATAATTCAGTGTGTGAGATGTAAAGTGGTTCAGAGTAGTTTGCTGTGAAATGGTTCAGATGTCTTTACAGTGGTGGTGATAGGAACCAGGGGTCACCATGACTACAAGACAGATATAGACATTTTATTTACTATCCAAAACCACCAGTGAACCTACACGAGTCTTCTGAGTTTATATGGAATGTTGATGATGGAAAATAGTGGAAAATTTTGTCTCACTGCACCCTGCATGTATCCCTCCACCATGAATGGAGTTTAAGTTCTCTAAACTATCATAAAACAGTGTCTCAGTCATCAGGCAGTGAATTCATAACCATTTTCCTTTCTGTGAGGGAGCTTTTAGAGGTGGACATCTGGTTCCTATCACCACCACTGTAAACGATTCTGACTCGGTAAGTTTCTCTAGAACAGAGCGTTTCACACCAAACCTCTCTGAACCGCTCTGTTTACATCTTAACTGCTTAATTACAAAGTTTTGGGAAATTGGTGGAATTCACCTTTAAAACACTATGAATAGAATGGATGAAATGAATACATTAAATAAAGTACTACTATTAAATACAGGATACAGACCAAACAGTGAACAGTGGACAGTAAACAGTGGACAGTAGGATTGAGCAAATATAAATGACTGCAGTGATATTTCTATATAAATTATAAAAGTATACAAAATTATATAAGCTATAAAAATATTCAGTGTTGATTATAGTAGTAACAGTAATAGTCTTAAAAAACACAGTAAAAATGCTGACCGCGGCAGAGTGACGTGTCCTGTGAGTATGACATGAACTGTAATACACACACACACACACGTCATCTAAATCACTTATCCTTCTTGGTCGTGGTGGGGTGCTGGAGCCTATCCCAGCTATCATTGGGCGGAAGGCAGGATACACCCTGGACAGGTCGGCAGTCCATCACAGGGCAGATAGACAGACATACACATTCACACACACATTCACACCTAGGGGCAATGTAGCACGTCCAATTGGCCTGACTGCATGTTTTTGGACTGTGGGAGGAAACCGGAGTACCGGAGGAAACCCACGCAGACACAGGCAGAACATGCAAACTCCACACAGAAAGGACCCGGGTCGTCCGGCCAGGAATCGAACCCAGGCCCTTCTTACTGTGAGGCGACAGCGCTACCCACTGCACCACCCTGAACTGTAATATGAAATCTTTTTAAAGTTCCAGTTCTGAAGGCCACAGAACTCCAGCGCTGATCGTGTTTCATTGCTCCAAACTTATAACTGTGATCTGTGTGCAGGCCAGTCATCTGAAGTCGGAGACGGAGACGTACGAGGAGAAAGAGCAGCAGCTGGTGAACGACTGTGTTCAGGAGCTCAGTGAGTTAAACAGTTAAACTTTAGTTTAAATACAACAATACAACAATACAAAACACTGTGTCCACCCTACAGCAGTTTAGCCCTGCCCATTCAGATTGATGTTATAAGGAATGTTTCAGTCTGGACGTTTTTTTGAAAGAGGCACAATGCAGAGCAGCCAATCAGAACAGAGCTCATTTACCTATATAAGTCTGAAAGGCACAGTAACAAAATCAAACTGTTTAATTGTTTAAGGGATAAAGAGTTAAAGTACGCAAACATTATACATGGACTTAAAGGGGCCGTCTAAATACTTTTGGGCATACAGTGTACATGCTGTTTCTTTGGTCTTACTATAACTCTCTCTTTCTCTCTGTCTCTCTCTCCAGGGCAGTCCAGTCTCCAGATCTCCACCATAGCAGAGGAGCTGGCCAGAAAGACTGAGGACGCCTCTCGGCAGCAGGAGGAAATCACACATTTACTCTCTCAGATCGTTGACTTACAGAAAAAAGCCAAAACTGTGAGTGTCTCTATAAACAGAGAGAGAGAGAAATCACCCAAAGGACGAGTTACACTAATGAAATGTGTTATTTTCAGTACGCGGTGGAGAACGAGGAGCTATCTCAGCATCTCGGAGCAGCTAAAGATGCCCAGCGGCAGCTCACAGCCGAGGTACCACACTCAGAACGGTTCTGCTGGTCTGACCTGGGCTGACCACACTGAGCCGAGCCCAACAGGGCTAATATGCATACTGCAAAGCCGCTCTTACTTAACTGTTAGTTAACTGTTCATCATAGATGGAATAAGAAATCTCTCTGAAGGAGAACCATCTAAATCAGGAACACTGTAATCTGGTTACGTACAGGATGTGCTCTGAAATCAGGAGGAATAACACGCCGTCTCTTTAGCAACAACTGCAGCGAGTTCTTCTTCAGTCCAGTTCAGTCAGAGTAAACGCTCAGCTTTCAGATTAGAGTGCAGTTTTAGTTCTGCAGGGCAGGTTTCGGTTCTGTCTCACTCTGACCTGTATTTAAAGATCTAACTCTGAAGTAGGAGAGCTTTAAGAGTGTGTGTGACGTTTTACTTTTAATTACAGTTTAGTATATTAAGCAGTGCTGTCCAGTAGGTTAATCTGTGAGCTGGTTTAAGGCAACACAGACGGGTTCATTAACAGAACATAATCAACTCAGTTACATTTCACAGCTGTGTGAATGATATGATGAGCAGTTCCTCAAAAAGGCCTGGTAGTAAACTTTTTTGTACCTACAGTTCATTTACTGTCTATCAACTCGAGCTCTTTGCAACAAACTAAAGCCTGTAAAACTCTAAGATAATCCATCTCTGTTTGTGCCTGCGAGCGGGTTTGGGTTTTAATAGCACCAGTTGGGTCAGCTCAGGCTTTAATGTCACACAGCAGACCACTAAGTCTCTCACAGAGTACAGACTGACTTAAAGGGGAACCTTAACCGTTTTTTCTTTCTAATTAGGTTAGTCTTGCTCTTGTGTTCTGTGTGTTCAAGTCAGAGAAGCTAACGACCAAGCGAAAGCTAACCCAGCAAACATGACAGAGCAATCAAGCTGTAAAGTTTCCTTTATTTGTTTGTTCAGCTGGTCACTCCCTGGATGAAGGTCCAGCAGTAAAGTGAATGAGAACCTTCTTTAAGGTTCTCCATATGAAAGCTGGACGATGTTTTCAGTGAGTAAACGCTGTTGGACCAAAGCGTCGTGTTTCCAGTGTGGTGTGATCAGAGAGGGCTGATCAGCGCTGTTATCATATTTCTGTGTTCTGTGTTTTACTTTCAAACTGCTGAGTGTTAATATAACATTCATATTTATACGGCTCTCTGTGACTCTCCAACTTGGGTTGGACAGTATTGTGCTTGTTAATCATTATTGCTATATTGGCATTTTTAATACTGATATCACAAAAAGCTGCACTATGCAAATGAGCCCTCTGACCAATCACAGTGTTTCTACTGCATGCTGTGAGCATCCTGACCAATCACAGGTCCAGATTAGGGTTCTGTGGGTGTTTTGCGGAAATCGAGGAATTCGTCTGATCCAAAAAACAATCAAAAATGTTTTATGATATTTTTTCTTTTCCGTGCTCATTAAATCTGTTCTCCAGTGAATGTTGATGAAACAATATGTCACGTTTGAAATGTAGATAATATCTGTCATTCTGTTTGAAGCTCCAGGAGCTGGAGGAGAAATACTCAGAGTGCATCGAGATGCTGCATGAAGCTCAGGAGGAGCTGAAGAACCTGCGGAACAGGAGCGTATCTGCAGGAACGCCTCGACGCTACCACCCCCTCGGACTGTTTCCTATGGTAAACACAGATACACATGAGCGCAAGCTGCACACGGTGTGTTTGGTTTAGAATCTCAGGACCGACCAGCGTTTTACACACTTTGAATACACGTTAGTGTTTTTCAAATGAGTAACAGAACAATCGTCCTCGGAATCACCCTTAAAGGAGCCTCAGAACACATTAATTCAGTATTTAAGGTTGTTCTCTGGTGTCTCTGTGACTTTGATCAGGGTGAAAATGTCCATATGTGGTTTTACACGCCCGTTTACAGCCCTGTGATTTGGCCCTAGAATAAAACGAGCTGTTTCCCCTTTTTTGGGGGCTCATGAATAATGATGAGCTCTGCTCTGATTGGCTGGTTTACAGTGAGGCAGTGCAATGTCTCACACAGAAGCTACATGTGGAAACAAACACAGGCAGGAAAATAAACTGACCCTCCGTGTAAATCAGCTGGTCCTCATACTGTTTAGTTAGCTATGCTAGTTACTCTGAGCTCGCTAGTTGCTAACGTTAGCTACACTAGCTGTCTCGACAAAAACACAGTAAATTAAAGCTGTTCTCACTATGAAGCTCTCAGTTTAGGATCATCTGCTTCATCAGAAAGCTGATAAAGTCTCTCAGCAGGGCTGCTTACAGGCTGCTGTTGGGGTTGTGATGCTAATAAAGGTGGAACTGCGTCTCTTCAGGGTCAAACGCTGAGCGGAGCTGCTCGATGCTGTCTGAGCTTTGAGAAACTGTCTGAAATGAGCAGAGAAACTAACAGCTCTGAGTTAAAGCTGTCGGGATCCTGTTAGAGATGTGGGAGCTAAAGTTCCTGTTCTCCAGTTTGGTTTGAGGATTTTCTGTTCTGCCTTAAATGGCACTGCAGTTACATTCTGGCACCTGTACAAGCTGTAACATTTAGGGTGGAACAGAACATTCGACTAAGAAGCTGTGAACAGGAAGCCCCTCAGCCTGGATTAAAGATGGTCATCAGCCACTGACAGTTCGGTTCTTGTGAAGGGAATGAAAAGAGCCGACGTTCCTTCACAGCCTGGAGCTGCGTTTCTGCACACAGTCTGACTTTTTCATTGCTGCTGCTCTGTTGTTTCGCTGGTCTAGAACGTTGGCTGGGGCATGTAAATTTTGGATGTGTGTACATTAATGAGTCAAGACTGTTACGTAACAGTTTAGGGTTCTGGAATCTGCCTGTTTACTGCCTTTTTTACAAATGTAGGGTTTGTATGTGAAGAAGGAGACAGCAGTGTTTGAGGTTCACGGTGTGTCAGTTCCACGTACTGAACTCAGTTCGGCTGTGCCAATTAAATACAGTTCTCCATTCTATGGCACTTTAAAAACAAAAATTAGTATTTATTTCACAATTAACCTAAATTTTAAGTATGTTCATTACCGCAACATAGATCCAGTAGTCAGCAATAGGGTATTAGCAGTCAAGCTGAAACCAAGCTGCAGCTCAATTTGTGCTGCTCTGACTCTCCAGAGGGGGGAGCTGGAGTGACCCACTGCAGAACAGTGCAGGTGCAGAGGGGAGACACTGTGACATAATCACTTCTATCACTTTGACAGCATTTATGAGTCACATATGGAGACAGTTCAGTCTAAAATCACAGAAACAGACTGTTTCATTGTCAGATTTAAAGAAAATTAATTTCTGTTGTACATAAATCCACACAAATATTCTAAGTTGGGAAAAATAAAATACAAGAACGATTTATTTTAGCCTCCAGTTTTTGTGGCTTAAAAAGCTTCTGAATATTAAATAGAGAAATGAATAACAACGTAACTCTCCAGTATTCAAGTTAGTATGAATTATTATATACAGCTCTATTAGACACACATCCATATATTATATATGGTTATTATTTACATACTAATACCTGTGTGTGTGTGTGTGTGTGTGCGTGTGTGTGTGTGTGTTAGGACTCTCTGGCTGCTGAGATTGAGGGAACGATGAGGAAGGAGCTGAGTCAGGAGTATCCCGAACTTGACGAGCAAAAGTATATAGGTTTTATTTATTTATTTATTTATTTATTTATTTATTTGTCTATCTCAGCTCTGCTCTTCTCTGCTGCTTTAATCACTCTGTTCTCTGTTTATTGTGAACGCCCTCTCTGACCATCTCTCATTTTCATTTCTGAAGTCTCTGAATCAGGAGAGCTGAACGTTCTAGGACAGAAGATATTTTATGAAATACAAAAAGGAAAGTTTCATGAAAGTAAATGAAAAACTGACTGTTTGCAGAAGAATGATTGACACGCCTCTCAGCCAATCACAGCCATCTCTAAACGTTCCTCCACCAAGTGTAGGAAGACCTCCTCAGAGTGAGAACGTCTGCGGCAGTTAATCAGTCATTAGAGTATTAGAGTAAAATTATCAGGGAGAGATTATCAGAGTGAGATTATCAGAGTGAGATTATAAGAGTGAGATTATAAGAGTGAGAAATGGTGGAGCGTGTAAACCGACTCACTCTGTCTGATCCTCTGGAGGACAAGCTGCTTTATTTCGTTCCTGAAGTTTAACAGACTAACAGCTCAAACACTGTTATCATGCTCTGGACTTTATCTGAGTTTCTGCATTTACTAAAAATCATTTCACTATGATGTCTAACCAAATTAGCTTTATTTAGCTTAGCTGCTGACAGTTCTGGTGCTGAATCAGTCAGATTAAACACACAGATCGCGTTACTGAGTAAAACATTCTGTGTGAAGATAAATATTGTGGCTAAGCTCTATGTCTGGAGGTGACCGTCCCACCATCCTCACCGTTACTCTGCTCGTTCCAATAAAACAGCAAATTCTTGAGCAGAAATTCTCTGGTTGTCCTCCTCAGCAGCTGACTGGCTCTGACTAGCTTCAGTGTTAGCTTTAGCATTAGCTCACCTGAAGGGACAGCTTCCGTCCCTAAAACCTCCTCCTCGCATTTATAGTAAGTGGCTAAACCGTTTCCCTGCTTTAATTACTGTAAACATGGATTTTGTTCCCTTAAAATCGACCTACATTCATATTTTATCAGTTCTCAAACAGGCGTGTCGGCACTGAACATCCAGTAAAGCCAGTTTGTTTTTAAACTGTGGTTTTAAATGTTCTCTGAGCTTCTGCATTTTCCTTTCTGCTGCTGAGCTTTTTAAGCTGTTAGCTCACATGTTAAAGATGCTATCAGAAGTTTGACAGACGTAGCGACAGTAACTAAGGGAGGCGGGACTTTAGAGTTCCGCAGACGGTCAGTGATATAACAGGTTATACACTGACCTTGTGTTTTTTCTGTATGTGTGTTTTTTGCAGGGTCCATCATAAACGCGCGTTTGAGATGGTTAAGAACATTAACCAATCAGTGAGGCAGCGCCCATCGGCTCCGCCTCCTTCAGCTAACATCCCAGGGTCCAATCAGACACTCTCCTCCCTAAGCTCCGCCCTCTCTGACAGCAATGGAAACACACCTACTCTCGACAATCGTGCTCAGAGCATGTTATTAGAGGCGGAGTCAACAGACCGCAGGTGGGTGGGGCTTAAAGTTGAAGTGCTGAATGTATATAATACCTTTAATCAGCCTTTGATAGCTCATCTACAGGCACCGGCCACTTTATCAGAAACCCCTCTCCTGTAGCTCCACCTCGCTGGTGTTCAGTTAGAGACTGTAGATCATCTGCTGATGGACACTTTGATATTCTGCAGTTTAGCCCCACCCATTTAGCCTACAGCAGTGTAGCCCCGCCCATTCAGCCTACAGCAGTTTAGCCCCACCCATTCAGCCTACAGCAGTTTAGCCCCACCCATTCAGACTACAGCAGTTTAGCCCCACCCATTCAGACTACAGCAGTTTAGCCCCGCCCGTTCAGACTACAGCAGTTTAGCCCCACTCATTCAGACTACAGCAGTTTAGCCCTACCCATTCAGACTACAGCAGTTTAGCCCCACCCATTCAGCCTACAGCAGTTTAGCCCCACCCATTCAGCCAACAGCAGTTTAGCCCTGCCCGTTCAGCCTTCAGCAGTTTAGCCCCACCATTCAGACTACAGCAGTTTAGCCCCGCCCGTTCAGGCTACAGCAGTTTAGCCCCACCCATTCAGCCTACAGCAGTTTAGCCCCACCCATTCAGACTACAGCAGTTTAGCCCCACCCATTCAGACTACAGCAGTTTAGCCCCACCCGTTCAGGCTACAGCAGTTTAACCCCACCCATTCAGCCTACAGCAGTTTAGCCCCACCCATTCAGACTACAGCAGTTTAGCCCCGCCCGTTCAGCCTTCAGCTGTTTAACCCCACCCATTCAGACTACAGTTAAAGGTCTTAAATGCTCAGTAACGAAACCGTTTAATAATGAACCATGCTTAACTAATTAAATGTGTGTAGCTGTGGCTACTGACACTAACCTCACTGTGTGTTTGTGATTGTGTGTGTGTGTGTGTGTGTGTGTGTGGGTGTGTCTGTGTGTGGGTGTGTGTGTGTGTGTGGGTGTGTCTGTGTGTGTATGTGTGTGTCTGTGTGTGTGTCTGTGTCTGTCTCTGTGTGTGTGTGTCTGTGTCTGTATGTGTGTGTGTCTGTCTCTGTGTGTGTATGTGTCTGTGTGTGTGTGTGTCTGTGTGTGTGTATGTGTGTCTGTGTGTGTGTCTGTGTGTGTCTGTGTCTGTCTCTGTGTGTGTGTGTCTGTGTGTGTGTATGTGTGCGTCTGTGTGTGTGTGTGTGTGTGGGTGTGTCTGTGTGTCTGTGTCTGTCTCTGTGTGTGTGTGTCTGTGTGTGTGTATGTGTGCGTCTGTGTGTGTGTGTGTGTGTGTGTGGGTGTGTCTGTGTGTCTGTGTCTGTCTCTGTGTGTGTGTGTCTGTGTGTGTGTATGTGTGCGTCTGTGTGTGTGTGTGTCTGTGTGCGTCTGTGTCTGTGTGTGTGTGTGTGTCTGTGTGTGTGTCTGTGTGTGTGTGTGTGTGTGTGTGTATGTGTGTCTGTGTGTGTGTGTGTGTGTGTGTATGTGTGTGTGTGTGTGTGTGTGTGTGTGTCTGTGTGTGTGTGTGTGTGTGTGTGTGTGTATGTGTGTCTGTGTGTGTGTGTCTGTGTGTGTGTGTGTGTGTGTGTGTGTGTGTGTGTGTGTGTGTGTGTTAGCGTGGACGTCTCTGAGAAGCGCTCCTGTTCCGAGGATCTGAAGCTGGCTCTGCGGCGTCTCTCTCTGCGGAGGCAGAACTGTCTGAGTGAGCGCCGTTTCTTTGAGGAGGAGCGAGAGAGGCGTCAGCGAGACCCCCCGGGGCTGCAGGATGGAGCCCACCGCTCTGGTCTGGTGCCCAGCGAAAGCATCATGTCACTGGGCTCGTGGGCCAGCCGACCCTACCTGCCCGACAAGCTCCAGATCGTCAAGCCTCTGGAAGGTGACCGAAAGTTGCGGCGCTGGCCGTCGCCTCAGCGTCGCCCTAAGCACCGCCCCCCCTCCATGATGCTCTTTAACTCGTTCTGGTCGCTCATGCACCCCCGCAAACACTCCTACTTCAGGGAGCCACGCCCCTGGTTACAGTTACCATAGTGCTGCACACTCACATAGTTACCAAGGCTTCTGTCAGACCAGCCAAAGCATCAGTCACAGTTTACAAACCTCACTGAAGCATGTTTTCAATAGGAAACACACATTAATAATAATGATAATGATAATGATAATGATAATAAATAATAATAATATAATAATAACTAATGTTGATTTCACTTTCAGGCCAATAAAGTAATAAAACTGGTGTTAACTGTAGGGTTGGGGTTAGATTTTAGATCATGAATTGAAATAAAGCACATTGGGGATCAGCAAACACTGGAGATACAAATATAAAAATATAGATTTATTTACTTTTTGATCAAATTAGCAGCTGATACTGTTACTGATGTGTTTACAGGCCTGTTTATATTACAGAGATGCATTAACGCACAGTAGGAGCTCAGTGATTTTAATCTGACACCTTCATTAGGGACGTCACTACTGATTACTGTAATTGAGTAATTAACTAGCAGTTATTTGGTAATTAATTAAGTAACCCATCTGTGTTTTTTAACAGGATAAGCAATAAAAACAGGTTTAATATAACAGCACAGTAGCAAAGCCTGTCAAAATTTCCAGAATACTTTACTAAAAAAGTTAAAAAGAATCCTTTGAAAATAAATCATATATAAATAAATAAATAAAAATGCATAAATTCATTTAAATGTGTGTAATCAGTATCTGTTTTACTGTAAAAACAGCAGGACAGTTTAAAACATGCAGTATCGCACTGCAGGAATCGGCTAATTCAGGTTGGAGCGTTTTTAAGGTCATTTTTATTGCTGCTGTGACTGTCAGTATCATCAGCTGCTCATGTTGATATGCAGCAGTGTTTAATTCTGAGTAGCCCTGAGACACGACTGCCGTAATGCTAATCTCTGCTAGCGCCTCTTTGGGAATTAGCGGCTAGCGGTGGCGTTCACAGACCGTTCTGAGTTTAACGTTATGGTCAGCTCTGCTGGAACTCGGACGTTTGAAGCATTTGAAGCTGTAACAGACATTCAGGTTAGAGATGCACCGATACCACTTCTTCCTTCCCGATATTGATACCTGATCCTAAATATATGATATATGATACTGATACTAACTCTATCTAACCTAACTAAACTGTCCTTTATACAATTACGTTTTTAAATATTTTATTTTGGTTAAATCTGTGTTCATCACAAATAAAAATAAAACACACTTAACTAGATGGCATTTTTTACGTGTTGTATTGTGTATATTATATTACGCTTAAGTTATATATTATACACGCTTATATATAAAGTATCTGTTATTATATAATTAGTAATGAAAACCATGTTCAACAATATATGTAAATGTAAAATATCTCTATAGTGTAAAATAGTTAAAAACAGAGCTGAGCAGTATTCAGATAAACCTGTGGTGTGAACACATCAGCGCTGCGTTTAAGCGACAGTATTAGCACTGATACCAATACGGCATCAGTATCAGTGCAACACTAATTCAGATAGCATATTATTTACTTTCTGTGTTGTACTTTTACATAACTCCTTTATTGAAGCGTGATATTATTAGAGTAGCGTTAGCCTGTTAGCTGTCTGCTGAGCTGTTCAGATCAGATTAAGTTAAACAAAACCTTTTACTTCACATTTACTCAATATGTAACAATAAACATTTTAATTTGATATGAAATGTGTTATTACAGATGTATGCTCATTAGTGAGATCCTGCTGGTGTGGGTTTCCTCTCTTTTAGTGATGAATATAAGTGCTAACAGCTCCACCTTGTAGTGAATCTGCTGAATACAGTTTTATATAAAGCCTGTTTATGATTCACACTGCAAACCAATCACTAATCTGATTCAGTGAGAATGTAGATTCTAAGTGTATATATATAAATAGATTAACGTGTTTAATCTAGGAATTGTGACAGACACCATTTGATTTAATGTTTCTTGTTAAATTTTTTGACGAACCTGATAAAATCAGTATGTCACGTTCAGCAGTTCCTGGTTATGTTACGGTGATGATGCTCAGTCCTGCTGTTGGAAACATGGTTCACGTGTTTGAGTAGAAGATGACGACAAACTAGATATTTTATAGTTTTCAGCAGAGCCGCTAGCGCCAGCGGCAGCAGACCTCAAGAGTTCCGCTGTGCCAAATTTTGTTGTTAACAGCAGCAATGAAATAAACCAGATGTTGATTTTTTGTGGAGCCGTGGACGCCAGACGTCTCTTAGTTGAACTCCAGATGACCTTAATATTATACAACACAAATAAAAGAGTGCACAGCGTCCCCTGCCTATCTCCACCTTAAAAACACTACGCTGATAGAGCTCTGCACTGAAAATCGCCCTGAGCACAGTGATGGAGAAGGTGTGTGTGAGGAGATCACTGTACCTGCAGGACTGGAGCTGGGGGATCTCCAGAGTGGATCTCCAGAGTGGATCTCTGATGTTCTGATAGATTCAGTTTAGGGTCGTTTCTGCAGTTGTAATAATTGAGGTATTGTGTGTATAAATATTCTGTATGATGATATTTTCTCCTGTTAATGTGTGTGTTGGTGGTTCCTGAAGGTGTTGTGTAGTTTGTTTGCTGCCACCTGCTGGCAGACCGAAGGCACTGATCTGACTCCGCCTCCTTTCTGTCCTCTAGTCACAGTGACATCATCTTTCCTTCTGTTCATATTAACCTGTAACTGCATATTACATGTGTGTGTTTATTTTCATCTTCAGTGACATTGTTTACTCCATTATTCAGTGGAATAAATTAAACATCTTACAAACGTCCCATTTTCATTTGTGTTTCTCTCTTTTCCATCTGATTATTTTACATTAATATTTCATTTATTCTGTATGACTCATTTTTTATTTTCATCTTCAATAAAGTCTTTCTGTCATTTACTCCATTATTCACTGTCCTCATTCCTTTGATCTTCCTTTCTGCTTCTCATCTGTTCAGGAGTTTAAAGATCAGCGTGTTTGGGTTTAGTTCCACACTTTAACCACACAATACATCTTATAATAATGTAATAACCTATTACAATCCTCTCTCACTTTCTGTATCCTTTCTCTCTATACTCTCTTTATATACTCTGCCTGTTCTTTTTCTCTCTCTCTCTCTCTCTCTCTCTCTCTCTCTCTGTCTCTCTCTCTCTCTCTCTCTTTCTTTCTTTCTTTCTTTCTTTCTCTCAGGTTCTGCGACTCTGCAGCACTGGCAGCAGTTGGCTCAGCCTAATCTGGGGGGGATTCTGGATGCCCGTCCCGGTGTGGTTCCTAAAGGGTTCCGTCCTCTGGAGCTGGATCTGGAGGAGGTGTATCACTATGCCGACTACGAGGAGGACGAGCCGGGAGAGCAGTACTTCCAGAACCTTCCCACCACAACCGCGGCCAATCCCAACGTGCCTCCTGGCCTCAGCCACGCCTCCTCCGCTTCCCCCTCCCCCTGCCTGAGCACAGGCCACGCCCCCGCGGAGCTGCCAGGTGAGGCTGTGTGACTAATGAAGGCGAGAAAGAGACAGAGAGAGAAACAGAGGGAGAAAGAGAGAGAGAGAGAGGGAGAGAGAGACAGGAAACTGCAGTACCAACATTAAACTGAAAGCTGATTGGTTGATTTGATGCGCCAAGTTATTAAAAACATTGTACAGGTTATTAAACAATCCTTGACTGTTATGCTGCTTAGCAACCTTAGCCATGTGTTATAGGGAAATTCCACCGATTTTTCACAATTCCTCCATAATTCAGTGTGTGAGATGTAAACAGAGAGATTCAGAGTGGTTTGGTGTGAAATGGTTCAGATGTTTTTACAGTGGTAGTGATAGGAACCAGGGGTCGCCATGACTACAACACAAATATAGGCATTTTATTTACTATCCAAAACCACCAGTGAACCTACACGAGTCTTCTGAGTTTATATGGAATGTTGATGATGGAAAATAGTGGAAAATCTGAAATAATAAGTTTTCTTTGGGGACTATTTTGCCTCACAGCGCCCTGCATGTATCCCTCCACCATGAATGGAGTTTAAGTTCTCTAAACTATCATAAAACAGTGTCTCAGTCATCAGGCAGTGAATTCATAACCATTTCATGTAGGAACTTTATGTGAGGGAGCTTTTAGAGGTGGACGTCTGGTTCCTATCACCACCACTGTGAACAGTTCTGGCTCGGTAAGTTTCACACCAAACCACTCTGAAGGACTCTGTTTATGTCTAAACGATATAATTATAAACGATTAAATCTTGGTGAAATTCCCCTTTAATGAGCTCCATGGCTTGGTGAAGTTCAGCTTATTGAGATTAATTATGAATAATAACTTTATGCTCAGTCAGATGTGTATAAATCAGTCACAGAGTGAGATGTGACTGTGAGGCGGTTTATAAGAGTTAGTCGTGAAATCTAATTGGTTGTGTTTTCAGTGTACTATCCAGGTAAGTGCATGGCCCACACCAGCTCCATCTACACTTTCACCACCTGCAGGATCCTCCACCCTTCAGACGAGCTGACCAGAGTCACTCCCAGGTGAGTGACCACTCCTCTCTCGCTCTCAGACTGGAGACGTGTTTAAAGGACAGATTTCTCAGTTGACCCTAAGTGCAGTCAGCTGAGACGTGTTTGGCGTCTAAAGTTCTCTTCTTTGGTTTAAGCACTGCAGCTACGAGGCTAAATATGACTTAATCACCATACATGGGTAAAGATTGACCAAATATATTGTGATTTATTGAAGTTTGTACTTTTAGCTACAAATTATCTCTTTGTTTTTATATTTGCATGTTTAGGGTTAGAGTATGTGTTTGATGTGTTTAGTATTTGTGACGGTCCAACTGTACCTGATGATACCACCACTGACAGAAAGCTGGACCTTCCCTTAGAGAAACACTGCTGGGAATCAAATCAAATAGAATTATTAAGCAGTTTAATAATAAAATAAATAAATAGAACACCTGAGTGGGGAAAGACAAAAAGATGAAAACAATACTGGAACAATAATAGTAATGATAAAATAATAAAATGCTAAAAAAACATAAAATACATGACAACAATGATAAAAAGATCAGTTGTGAAGATCGGGTGATTGACAGGAGCCAGAGATTATTTTCAGTGTGTTTGATTGTTATTTGATCTTCACTCTTTCTTCTCCCTTGCTTTTCTCTTCCTCTGTTTCCAGTCTAAACCCCGCCCCCACCTCCTCCTGCGTGATGTCATCCAGTCTTCGCTCCACCCCGGCAGCCACACCCTGCACGCCACGCCGCTTGAGTCTGTCCCAGTCTCAGTCCTTCACCAACCTGCGGGACTCCACCAAGACCTTCAGCACGTCTCTGGGGTTGGTGCGTCTCCTGCAGGAGCGGGGGATATCTGCGGCCGTCTACCAGCCCCAGAGCTGGGACAGGGTCAGCGGAGGGGGGGTCCTTTTCTCCACCTCTGTCCTGCCCCAGCCCCCTCCAGACCCCCAGAGACCCACTACGCCTCCCAACTCGCCCAGCCGCCGAAGCCCCAGCCCTCACACCTCCTCCATGGATGAGAACCCCTCCGCGGCCTTCTCCTTCAAAAGCCCCTCCTACGAGAACTTCCTGGCCTCCAAGCCAGCGCGGTCCATCCTGAAGGAGGTGGCGGGGGCGACCGGCACTCAAGCCAGAGACTGCGAGAGCCAGACGGATGTCAGCGTCTACAACCTCAACCTGGTGGATAAGCTGAGGAGGCTCGGCCTGGCCAGCCCAGGGACCTCCGGGGCAGCCGTCACAAGGCCTGGCCCCATTTTGGGACCTCTGGGTGGCCTGAGGAGGGCGGGGTCGCCTTTTACCCCCCTGAATGAAGGCATAAGGCGCAATCGGAGCTACCCGGCCGTGGTGGGGGCGAGCATGGCCATGAAGGGCCCCGGGCCCCAGGGGGACGATCTGCTCCTGGCCCCAAAGCTGCCCAAGCAGTCTAGCCTCCAATAACACCGGATGATACGACATGCCTACATTCACTCTCACACCCATTGTAGTGTACATTACTCTCTGTAAGCCACACCCACAAAACTAACACCGCGATCAGGCCTGTCAGTTATTACATCATCACCATAATCATAGTCATTTTGCAAAGATGATAGCTTTCATAATCATAATCATACGCGTTCATCACAAAAACAGAATTTAATTGGGTCTATTGGTTTTCATCAGTCTGACTGAAGTAAATATGTGAAGGGTTTTATTCTAAAACATCTTTCTCTCTTTTTTCATCACACAGCTGATGGTCAGTGTTGTTGTTGATTTTCTTAGTATAAATAACTTACACATCTACAGAAAACACACTTAATATGGCACTTTTATGCTAATTGTAATGCACAATTTCTATTTATTTGAAAAAATAAAACAAGCTGTGGAGAGTGCTGTAACTATTGCACAGGCCACATTTAATGTTTTATTTGATTCCCGATGTGTTAAATTGAGTAAATAAACAGTAATTGTGTATTAAAGTGTGTAGAAGTGTGTCTGTAGATGTGTAACTTATTTACACTCAGACAATAAACAACAACATGTAAACTGACCTGGGGTGCAGAGTTTTGCAAATGGCTGTGTAAGTTGTTGGAAATGAGCATCACAACGGAAAGAATTATCAATGATATTTTATGATTAATTTCATCTAAATTAGACAAATAATTTTACAATGTAGGTGTGAAAGCATCCTGAGACGAGTCAACAGCAGCAGCAGTTCCTGATTTGGTGCCCTGTCACCTGTAGAGGGCAGCACTGAGTCATGTTTGTTTATTTGAGCTGTTTCTGTTGCTGCGACGTATCGACAGCTAGGAAGCGAGACAGCTAATCCGCCGCATTATGACTGTACTTTGATATGATTTAAGTGTCTCTTTTAAAAAAGACAGTGAAGTTGCTGTTATTTGCACAGCGTTTCACTGTCAGCTAAAATATGGTGATCGTGACGAGTGAAGTGAGACTGCAGCACCAGTTTCATTGTAGTAAAAACACTTTGGTACCTTCATGTTTGTTCACTCAGACTGTTTACACTGTTCATCCTCACCACTGTATATACAGTCCACAGTCTGACACTCTGATATTATACTGTATATAATAATATCTGTGTAAAGTTTCTCCTGGAACACCCAAAGCGCCCCCCCTCCCCCACACACACTTTTATCCTCACCGTCCAAATATGAGGTATTATAATAAATATCACAGCTGACTGTTGATTACTTACAGTGGACAAACGCGCTTGTCCCATTTTAACACCTCCATTATATTAATATGTAGAGTTTACATTCAGACCAGCATCATCACTCAGAGTCACACTGTAGACGGCTGGAGCTGCTCTAGAGGCTTTATTATGTGTTATTATGACATGAATTATGTTTATTCAGGATTTCTGCAGCACTATTAAACACTGCTGTAAACGCTGCATCAAATAAGAGCTTTAGTTCCAGTTCATCACCGAATTAAAGTAGATCAGTCCTGCATACGGTGCAGTGACCATTAATCCTCACATGCTGATCTGGGTGCAGTTCACACTGATTTACACTGAAAGAATTATATCTTAAAAAGTGCAAACATCTTACAAACATACAAACAGCTAATATTCCTCATCATTGATGATGCATTATTAGATTATTCTATGTATTTCTAGACATTTTTACTATTTTTATGTAATTGTATCTCTTCAGTCTGGACGGCTCTGAGGAGATTATGCAATTATCTCCCTTATTTTGAGTAATTATATCTTGTGTTTTATTCCACAGTCAGATCATTTTACTTGTTTTTAAACATTTTTGTAAATAAATAAAATGATGTGCCAGTGGAATAAAACGCTTTCATAAGATAAAATTACTCAAAATGAGTTAAATGATCTGAAAATCTCCTCACTGGAGTCTCTTAATGAGACATATTTGATATATTGACTACCTTTAAAGGTGGTTTCACTCGCTAATAAATCATTTTTTGCAGTTTAATTAGAGCAGCGATGCTAAGAGGAATATGATCAGTAAAGCTGCCACCCCCCCCTTTCTCTCTCACTGCTTTTACAGAGAAGAGGACTGTAAACTCTCTGTAATATTAATAATGTACAGTGCAGTAGCTGCACTGTCACAGCTGAGCAGACGCTCTTCATCCTCTTCAGATTCTCCACAGAAACACTGAGTTTAATAAACACACAGTATCAGTAATGTAATATTGTTCACAGCAGAGCGTCATCACATCTCTTCACTCGGCCAGACGCTAAACTGACACCTCACGCTGATGATGATGGACATAATGGACATACAGAGAGACAGAGCCTGAATTAGGATTGTTAAAGCAGTGCCTGAGTTAATTCTATATTATTATTATTATTATTATTATTATTGTTATTATTATTAGCAGTAGTAGTGGATGAGGCAGAAATGCTGCAGAAGGACCTGAACACATTTAGTAGATGCACTTTACATTATTTATTCATTCATTTGTTTGTTTGTTACAGATTAATATACATGTTGTTTTAAATCCACTGAGTAATTTTATGAGTAATTAATGTGGTTATGAGATATGAAGCGTTTATACAGTGTTATTTAAATGTTCGTATTGATTTCATTTTTCTGTTCTGGTCTCAGGTAACAGATGTACAAGGTGGTGGCTATTCTGAACGGTCAGTATGCAATAACACTGTAAAATTTGCAATAAACAAAAAACATCTAAACCTGGATCAGCCTGCTGTGTGCTTTCTGACCACTAGAGGGTGCTGTGTGATCACTCTCTCACTTCAGATCAGCTCTGTGTGAGTCTGCTGTGAGATTTTTAACAGAATAAAAGTGCAGAAATAGTGAAGTACAGTAATTATATGTGATTATATGACATACAGACTCTGGCTGAGTCTAAAAGCTTTTAACCCTCTTCTGCTCTCATTAATGTTTAAAAAGGTGTGACTCACATTTCCTGTGTAAACTGGGTCTTAAAAAAACTAAGGTCTCCATGTCCAATGCCAGCGTGGGGGTATAAAGAGGGGTATAAAGCCCCCCAGCATTGGTCTGTGGAGCAGTGGAACTGTGTTCTCTGGAGAGATGGAGCTCTATCCAGGGATGAGTTGGAGTGACCCAGACCTGACCGTCCAACATCAGTACCTGACCTCACTGATGCTCAATCAAATCCTCACAGCAATGTTCAACATCTAGTGTAAAGCCTTCCCAGAAGAGTAGAGGCTGTTACTGCAAACTCAGTATTAATACTCATTTCAGAAGCAGCTCTGGAGTCGACAGACCTCTGGACTAATCATAATGATGGGACCATTTTAATACACAGATCAAACGTCTAAAAATAGTTTAATATTAAATCTCTGGATTCCTTGTTCCCTGTGAGTTCGGGGAGAATGTGGAGCGTCTGCGTCACTGAGTGGGACCTGAAATACCAGAAGTAATTGCTTGTTGATGCTGTTGAGTTTTGGGCTCCAGTGTGAATGTGCTGACCTCCTACCTGCTCTTTCATCCCACTATCCCTTCACTCATTCATGCTCAGGTTTTATAGTCTAAAAGCTTGTTTATGCTCCCTTTACGTTCAAAGAAGAAATGATGGAGCCGTTACTGCCCACATACTTCCACGGGTCCTTTACGTTGGTATGGACGTTAAGCAGTACATCCACTAGAGGGCAGTGCGGAGTCAAATGTTTCTGACAACAACAAGCAACGGTGCAAGTGGAGGAGCCACAATAATGTACCAACTACGAAAGAGCTGACAGATGCAGTGCAGAGTCTCTGGAGTCTGTGAGGTCATTAAATACTGTGACATGTAGATGGAGAATTCAGAGCGTTGGATTACATCATTAAGTAGGCCGCGTCTCCATGTTGGTAGGTGAACGACCACAAACACATGGACAGATATGTGGAAGCTTTAGATGCGTCGCCAGAGGAGATGATCAGCTGATCGGTGGATCTGTTTAACCTGCACATCTCCAGAGTTCAGAACATTCCAGAGAGATTTTATAAAAACTAATAAAAGTGGCGACTAAAACTGCCCAAACTCTTAAAATATAAACTCATACACAGAAATAAAGACGAAGCTTCTTATTCACCAGCATCTCATTTCAGTTTTCTGTTCCACCTTAAATGGAGCTGCAGTCACTCTGAGGCGCCTTAAACGTGGAACAAGTTACAAAAGTTGGTGACAAAGCCAAAATCAGCTCAATAAACACATTAATTTACCTCAATAAAAGCTCCATAATCAATAAACCCCTCAAACTTTCTCTTGGAGGTGTTTAATGAGTAGCTACCGAGCAGCACAGCAGAGTAGCTGTTGATCGCGTCCCAAATCACACACTTCTGTACTTCACCTACTGCACTAATGAGTGCACTTCTAACGGGGTAAGCATTATTTTATGTACACTAGTTAGTGAGCTGGTATTCTGTTTGGAATGTGGAAATAATAACGCAGCAGGAAATTTCAGCCATTTAGATTTATTAGAAAAGTCAAATTAAACCAAGTCAGTACATCAGATACACTGGATAATGTGCTTTAAATTTAAAAAAGTGTTTAAAACGTGTTTTAGTGCCTTTGCTGGATCAGTTGTGGCTTCATCTCATTACAAACAGCTGCAGCACTGCTGAATGAACTTGAAGTTAACGTCCAAAATGGGGGCAGTGCAACTGTGACGTCATCAGAATACTATCAGTTATTTTCACTTCTGTTACCAATGAGAGAAGCTCCTGGACAGCAGCATATATCGGTCCACTGGCTTGATGAGGTCAGCATCCTACTGACTGTTTGCCACTGCTGGTCCCCCTCGGACCTCGCAGATTACTGTCCTGCACACAAACTTTAACTAGTTTTAATCTCTTTAAACAGATTTTAAAATGCACAGAGACTTTTATTTTGGAAAATAAACTATGACAAGTATTACAAACAACTGAGAAAAAAAAGTGACAAGGCCTGATATAAAATGATTTTGTTGAAAATGTTGCCGACACTGAGTTGGATTAAACTATTTACTACACTCATTTACAGAGTATAACTAAAGAAGGAGGATAAATCAGTAAACTGGACTGTTAGTGGAAAATGAGTGATGAAAAGTGGAATTTTCTCTAATACTCTGAACCCCGGTGGGCCGCCCAGAAAACACTGATCAAAACACCAGTGGACCACCAGCTTTACCATCAGCTGGCTGACAGTGGCCCACTATCCTCTTACTTTTAGGGCTGACATCGTGTCTTGCATGAATTATTGGCTACATTATAGGATACAATACAGGAGTGGCACCTTTAATGACCCACTGAAGTTCTCAAAATTGGGTATCTAGTACTTTTGCTCCTGTAAGTAATTGTTCTTCTCCGCTCATATGAACATTAACAGCGGTTCTAACTGCTCTTGTTTGTGAAAACTGGAGCCGCTCAGTAAATACGCGAACGCAGAGTCACAGATAATTGATCTGTCAATCATGTGTGGCCGAATCCAATCAGAAGGCCGTCTGCGGTGTTGCGTGTTGTTCTGAGCTGAACGTGCTGATATTTCAGAAACGGTAATGAGATTAACATTTTCTTCATATTGCCTCTATTACATTACAGCTATGGTGTGATTAGGCTCTTATTAAAGGTCAGTGGAGGAGATGACCGCACGCTCAGCTGCAGAATCCTCAGCGCTGTTCAGCTGGAGCTGAGTGGACTGTGTGGGTGGACTGCAGGGTCGGTTAGCACTCTGTACTGTCTCCTTCATGACTGCAGTCACTGCACCATCATATCACTCTGAGGAGCTTCTGCCTCTCAGAATCTCAGACAGCTATTCCTGCTCTGACTGACCATCAAACTGCAGCAGAACTTCAGTGGAGGAGAAACTTCATCTCACCTCACCTCAGCACAGCTCCCTCAGACTGACAGCGGAATGAATTATTAAAATAAAAACGAATAAAAGAAGTTCATAAGGATAAATAAGTCTGAGGTGTAAATATGGTAATAAATAATCTCACCGGACAAAAATGAGTCAGCTGTGACCAAAATGTACCTAATAGCACATAAAACCTCCATGCGCACCAATAACAGCTGCAACTTGATTTGGCCTGGACTGGACGAGTTTCTGGATGTAGGCGACATCAATGTTCAGCCACTGTCGCATCACAGAATTGTGCAGTTCGGCCAGATTTCGTGGAGCCTTCCCTGGTATCTTACTCGTTGTTCCAGGTCGTCCCACAGATTTTCAAGAGGATTCAAATCTGGGGATTTTGCGGGCCGGTCCAGATGTGTGAACACTCCTGAATGTTCATCATGCCGATCAGTCACATTTGCAGCCCTGTGAACACGAGAACTGTCATCTTTAGGTTCCTCGGTAAGATGATGAGCAAAAGGCAAAACCTGGTTGTCCAGCAGCTCAATGTCGGCACTGTGGTTCAAATTTACTGTCACCTCAGCCAAACGACCCCTTTCCACATAATTAAAACACCCCCAGAACATCACAGAGTCTCCAGCTTAAACCACACCTGCACACAGTCCTCACTGAAGGCTTCCTGAGGTCTACGATGAACACGACGCCGAGCATCATTCACTGCACTGAACCACCTCATCTCAATCTATGAATCCCGTTGCACAGCCAGCAGGTATTTATAGCCCAGTCGTCCCATGCAGCGCCATCTGCAGGACCCTGAAGTCACTACCACCTTAAACCTTAATTTTATTTTTGTCTGGGGAGCTTATGAGCGTTAAATGAATATGGATATGAAAAAATACTAATACTAATATTAATAAAACAAACAATAAGGTAAATATGAAAAATTGAATAGTACACCTGAACATGATGAGTCAGAAATCTGTCTGTCTCTCACTCTGTCTGTCTCTCTTTTCCTCTGTATCTGTCTGTCTCTCACTCTGTCTCTCTCTATGTATCTGTCTGTCTTTCACTCTGTCTTTATCTCTCTCTCTCTGTATTTGTCTGTCTCTCTGTCTGTCTGTCTCTCTCTTTGTATTTGTCTGTCTCTCTGTCTGTCTCTCTGTCTGTCTGTCTCTCTTTCTCTGTATCTGTCTCTCACTCTGTCTCTCTCTCTATGTACCTGTCTGTCTCTCACTCTGTCTGTCTCTCTCTCTCTCTCTCTCTCTCTGTATTTGTCTCTCTGTCTGTCTGTCTCTCTGTATCTCCTTCTCTCTCTCTCTCTCTCTCTCTCTGATTGGCTGATTGATCTGTGCTCAGCGCTGCTGTGTGTTGTTTTTGGAGTCGTGTTGGTCTGTGAGTTGTGAAGCTCGTCATGGTTGTGACCTCACTGATCTGATCTCATCCACACAGTCTCGTCTGATCATCACACTCATCTGAACTCCATCATCCTGATATTGATCACGTTCAGCATCATATTTTACACACACTCCAGCAGATGCGCCTGAACCAAACAGACAGTTTTACGACCTTAAAGACGTGAAGATCTTCAGGAATAAAATAAGATTAAATTCACTTCTGAGCTGAATATGAACGCCGACCTTTGACGTCTCCACACGGAATTAATTCCTAAACAAAGGAATATTATGTGTGTGTATGTGGGTTCTTTGTGCTGGAGAACAGTCTCACATGGTTCCTCATGAAGCTGCTTTAGAGAACACTAGGAAGGGGAAGGGGGCTGGGTGGGGGTTTCTAAACCTCTGTAATGAAGGAATAACTTACACTGAAGTTTGTGTAGTTTCTGTGTAATAAGCTTTAGGAGGACTAAAGAACTGTTTTTGTGAATGTGATGTGTAAGTGTGAAGAACCTTTTTAAAGTCCAAAGAACTAAAGGTTCTCAGTCTAAGAATCATTTAGGAATCTTTATTTTTAGAACGTGTGCATTGTGTGGATTTTTTATTAACTTTAACAAAGTCCTTCATGCTCATATATCTCATTTACATCAAAACGTTCTTCAAGGAACCAAGAGCGGTTCTGCTATCAAGTTGCGTTGTAGAGCAGTTCTACAGGGACATCACTGTTATATGGAGTGGAATGTTACTGTGGATCATCTATAAATGCTGATAAAGCTGTTGATCAGCACTGCTGAGTGATGTTAATATAGGTGATGCTTTAGTGCTGATTGTGCCAAAATTGTGCTGTCTGTCCTGCGATGGTCAGTCAGGGTGAATGTGCTGTCCAGATGTCCTTTAGAACAGTAAGAAGGCAGAGAGTGAGTTATTTCCTCACTAGCTCCTCGTGCTCCACTCTTATGGAATCATCTAAAGTAGGTTTTGTGAATGGATGAATTTTATTTTGGTGGACATGTCCCAGGACACTTTGTTTCAGGGTGAAGTCACGTGTAGGTCTGTTTAACCCTGGATCTACCAGACTGACCACAGGCTGGACCAATGAGATGGAGAGGACCAGGAGTGTTTTTTGCAGGGGTGCTAAAACTCATCACTTTCAGGACAAAAACTCGTATCTATGCTTATGTCAATTTTCATTTTTCAGCATGATTTAAATTTGGCAGCTGCCCTTCATGATTTGTGAGAATCCCACTGTGAATGGAGCTGCAGAAACGGGGCGAAACCCTATGAACATCTATTAAAGTGGAGAACGATGTTCTTCCTCCTGTAAAGTTCCCTTTTCTGGTGAGGTTTTGTTCCGATGGTGATGAGACGAAGAGGTGCTGTAACTGTGTTTGTTGAGGTGGCAATATGTGAAAACCCTGGGGTTGGCAGAGTGGGAGGGGCTGGGGTTACAGGGACCCCTAATCAAGCAGCACACTAATTTCAGTGCGGAGGGGATTCGATGTTGAGGCTAGTTTGGGTCTTTGTGATGTATCAGAGCTGGTTAATGAGGAGTCTGCCCACTTCCTGTTTCCCTGTTATGTCAAAAACAGCACTGATGAACAGCAGAGGGCGTCTGTGAGTGAGTCCTCAGTGAACGGGAGTGAATGAAGCTAAACGGCTAAAAACGAAACAGTAAAATCGTTTCTAATCTCTAAAAACACAAAGAAGACACAGGAAACACACTAACATTACTGCTACTGAGTGCTGATTGGTTAACATTACTGCTACTGAGTGCTGATTGGTTAACATTACTGCTACTGAGTGCTGATTGGTTAACATTACTGATACTGAGCTCTGATTGGTTAACATTACTGCTACTGAGTGCTGATTGGTTAACATTACTGCTACTGAGTGCTGATTGGTTAACATTACTGATACTGAGCTCTGATTGGTTAACATTACTGCTACTGAGCGCTGATCGGTTAGCGTTACTGCTACTGAGCGCTGATCGGTTAGCGTTACTGCTACTGAACGCTGATTGGTCAGCATTACTGCTACTGAGCGCTGATTGGTTAGCGTTACTGCTACTGAACGCTAATTGGTCAGCATTACTGCTTCTGAGCTCTGATTGGTCAGCATTACCGCTACTGAGCGCTGATTGGTTAGCATTACTGCTACTGAGTGCTGATTGGTTAGCATTACTGCTACTGAGTGCTGATTGGTTAGCGTTACTGCTACTGAGTGCTGATTGGTTAGCATTACTGCTAACTCGAGTTTTTATTACTCTTCTGTGAGCACTGTCACTGTATTGTAGCCAATCAAAATCATTACACTCTGTGACAGCTCCGCCTTAGTTTCACTGCTTAGCAATTGAGCAACTGTCTGATCTGAACTCGGTTATGTTGTTTTCATTTTGTGTGGTGAGTGGACGCGTGATTTACAGTGAAGGAGCTGCAGGGTTGGTTGTGTTAATGTGAATCCAGTAATTCGGTTGATGGCTGTTGTTTGGTATCCCTATAGGGGGCGCAAGTGTTGGAATAGGGCCGTTTGGTCAGTCGGTTTTATATTACAGTGTAAAACTGGACAATAATGTGTTACAGTTAATAATAAGTGGTTTGACAGCTTTGTGGAAGTACATTAGAGGAAGTTGGGTTCCATCGGTGTCTGAGCTGCTCTCCGAAGCTCTGAGAGCCTTTACTGTTCTGAATGCGGTTCGGTTCATTTCCTTCCATCTGGGCTCCACCTTAAACTACTTTGTAGCCACATCCTTTAATGTGTCCTGCGGTCAGGCTCTTTGTTCTTTCTGCGGTCACCTGCTCCTATTAGAGCTGGTGCTTGTGGGTAATGTAGTGTGGGTGAGTTTGATGGACAGATGGTCAGAGTCCACAGCGTTTAAGGCCAAAGTCGAATGCTGACCTGATTTATTGTAACACATCAGAGAGGGGCGTGGCTTAAGCTGGACTCTTCCCTGGTGACCCAAAGACAGAACATCAACGAAAAACACTACAAAAACGTGGAGAGGAACGTTTCTGGAAAATTTGGCATGAGTGTATATTGCATCATATCAATTTACAAACAAATGTACATCAAATACATCATCATCATCATTGTAAGAAGAAGAAGAAGAAGAATAGTAATAAATATATGATTTATTTGTGACGGTGAGTCGGGCCGCCGCGCTGGTTCCTCATGAAGAGTATTCATACTCCTCAGCACTCCGGCGGCCAAAGTCCATCCAGCCCAGGTAATCCCGGTCTTTTATCCGGTGGTTGGCGGTCAGCGAGCCGGCCTTGCTGTTCACCGTGGAGTTACGACGAACGGAACCTGAGAGAGAGAGAGAGAGAGAGAGAGAGAGAGAGAGAGACATGAGCCCTTAAATGCCTTCAGATGCCTGATTATTTCACTGAAACAGGAGAAACTGGATTCTACGCCTTCAGTCTGCGTCAGTGAGGAGACACTTCATTATTGTTTGAATTTGAACACAAGAGGAAGTGTGTAATTGTGAATGACATCACGGCTGTGATGTTATTTGTGATACGACACAAACTTGAGTGTTCTGTTGCTTTTATACAACAGTTTTTACAAAATAAAGACACAAAATAAAACAAAGAAGTCCGGAATTTCATACTTAATTTACTTTAATGCTGAGAAAACCTTCTGCCAAAAAGTAGTTCCACAACAAATGAGTTGTTGCTGTCCAGTGGTAACAGTTTCCCGCCTACTGAGCCTGTGGAGACCTGTGTACAGTCCAGTATAACTGCTGGACTGTAAGACTCGGCTTCTGTGGTGCAGATGGAGCCACAGAACCGTAGAAATATCAGGTTCAGCTCAGTTCATTTTGTAACAGCCAGTCTGTAAAGCACCTTGTGGCTCATCTTGTTTGCTGAATTGTACTCTGTTCATTTGTCACTGCAGTCGACCAGACAGTTTTTTTATGGTAACAACTCAGAGTCTGATGTGCGTCTGCATTCACTGTCTTATTCAGAGTCGGACAAACGGGCTGCAGCTTATTGTTTTGTTTGAGCACAAATGCAAAACAAAGGTTTGTGTGCATAAAGCTGGTCATTACTGCAATACAGTTTAGTGTAAAAAGCCATGTGTTATCACAAATACCAGCACAGACAGACACTTCTCCACCAATCAGACTGTGAGGGCTGTATAAGGAAAGTCATTTAGTTTCTGTTGAGAAACGACGCAATTTAAACCTGATGGTTTTGCTTTCTAATGGGAATTGGCTCAATGGTTTCCAGTAGAGACCACTAGTTTCCTGTAGAACCCCTTTAGATTAGGAAACCATCAAATGTATCTGGAATCAGCCACTGGTCACCTGTTAATCCAACAGGATCCTTTACACTGTGATATCAACCCATTAATAAAGAAAAAAAACACATTACAGAACCATCAGGTACCAACAGACACACTTAATGGTTTCTGTGGGTTTTTTCAGCAGGGAGCTCCAATGAAGACGTCTGATGAATCAGTCAGTGAAATGAAATATAAATTTCATGATATATGAAATATACTTTCCGAATATTCAGTGTTGGATGTGAATCTGAGTGTAAATGAGTAAAACAGACTGAAATCAAACTTCAACTTTAATTATGATCAACCCTTAAAGCAGCGTTTGGGGAGAGAGCTCAGCACAGAAAACAGGTTATTAAATCATCTAAAATACAAAGATAAAGATTAATAATATCAGCTGTTTATGAGCTGCACAGAGGAGCTCACTGCTGTTTAAAGGCACTCAGAGAGAGAGAGAGGCATATATCTGATTTCTGTCTGAGAGCTGATTAGATCTGTAAGTCAGCCGTGACTCTGAGATGGATGGATGCAGATTTCATCTGTCAGATTCGGTCCATCAGATGAACATCTGCTCCAGATGTTTCAAATTCTCCAAGTTTTCAAAGCTTCCAGACTCTCTCACTCCCTCACGTCTCTGTACATCTGACTGGTGTAACGCAGCGTCTGGTTTCATCGGTGGAGTCTGTGGACGCCTGACCGTGATCGTGTCTGAAACGTTAGGATCTCCTCAGTTCACTCAGCCAGAGACTACTGGATTCGGCACGACACATTTCTAACATCTGACTTTACGTTTGGAGTCCCGAGAGCCTCAAGGCTGATGCTTTAGCATTAGCTATAACACAGTTGCTAAGTTAGCCTAGTTAACCTTAGTAGCTGTAACTGGCAGCTGACAGTAAAACCAATATGCACTTAAGCTCTGAAGTCAAGTGGTCATTCTGTAGTCGGAGTCGGCCTCATGAGGAGCTCCAGGACTGAGCTGAGTTTCTTTATGGTGAAAAAAGTGGAGTTTCTGAGAGTCACTGCTGTCTCAGCCTGAGGTTCACTAATGTTCCCACCACCAAACGTTCTGACTGTACATTTTCCTCTGAATTATGAGCTGGTTAAAAAGACAAAATATGAATGTTGCTACATGTTAGCTAACATGGCTGCTAGCACACTGACGACCTCATCAGGCTGACCTCACCAAAATGCCCCAAACAGTCCAGCAGGTTCTGTCCAGAGTGGTAATTTAGAGGCATTTCTCAGGTTTAGGCTGCAGTTTGAGTTTAACAGTAGATTCTCTTTCATGTGACGCTATTTCAGTGTGCAGCAGTGTTAGCCTGCTTGTAGCCTGGGGTTTATACATAGGACAAATCACATTGTAGTTTCCTCCGGGTGAGAAAACAGTGATTTTCATTTTTCCCTCAGAGATAAACAGCTCAGATGTTTGTGAGGGAGCAGCTCACAGCAGAGTCTCAGACTCAGAGTCTCAGCGAGAAGATTTTACCAGCAGCTTCAGAAGTTTCCTGGCAGCTTTTTGAGGCACCACAGAAATGAACCATCACAGTGAACAGCTCTAATTAACAACTAATTAACATCTAATTAGCATCTAATTAACCTGGATGGCACTCAGAGAGGTAATTTGGGCACATGTTTAACAGCTTGCAGAGCACAGTTACACAGGACGACAGACAGAGGCTCAGATTTCTGCTCTCGTCTGTGCGCCGCTGATGAGCTTCGCGTTCTGCGGATTTTACACTCAGAAGATTCTGTTATTGTTGGGGATAAAATTATGCTGTAAATTTATATGAATTATTTCTCACATTGTGAGTAGAAGTGTATACAGTGTTGAAACATCCTTTGCATTTTTTCATGTTGTTGTTGTTTGACGGCGTTACAAAGAGAAAAAAGTTGAATGTTCAGATTCGAACCTGTCCAGACAGAATATACGATTAATATATACATTGATCATTTATTTTGTATGCACTAATTCATGTGATTATGTAATAATATTTAGACAATTTAGCAGAGTTAAAGGGGTGGAGCTCCTGGATGGTCAGTGTCCAGCACTAGATGGTCCTGCACCTGATTCAGCTCACCTGTTATTTACTGCATTTAGTGGGAGTGTTTTAGCAAGACGCTGACCGTCCAGGACCAGAACTGGACACTGCTTTAAAAATTATTCTATGAGTAAGTCAGTAGTGTTAGCGTAGTGTTAGTGTAGTGCAAGGGTCAGCAAAATGTTAAGAAGAGCCATTTTGTCTAATCTAACCACCTTGGGGGCCACAACATTTTATGTCCATTTTATTAAAGTAATGTTTTACCATCTTGGCTGTAAAACTGTCTCAGTATGTGTTAATGTACTAGTATAGACTAAAAATATAATATAAACGAAAATGCAGACTTACTCTGCTCTGCTTTCAGCTTTAGGTCAGCTGCTTTTCTCACATCTCAGGCAGGAAACTTTTCCACAAAAGTAGAACAGTTTCTTGTAAAATGTCTCTCAACTTTCGACTTTTTACGAGGCTGAAGTCTTTCACCAGCTTCTTGTTCAAATTTTCCCATTCCACCTTAAATGGTGCCTGGGGAGCCAGAATGCAACTGCTGCACCATTTAAGGTGGAACAGGACAATTCTAACAAGAAGCTGGCGAATAAGAAACTGACTTCAGCTTCATTCATTTTTAGTGTTTCAGTTTGTCGTTGCAGATTAAACGTATCAGGAAACCAGCTGGAGTGATTATAAACACAAATAAGTCCATTCGTCTCAAATGTCTCACAATTTATCGATGTTCGTCTTAAATCTCTCTCTTTGCTGTTTCGTTAGCTACTAGCTGGGTGAGATTGTTGTCTGTGTTGCTATGGTGACCAGCAGTCTGTGCTGATCTTCAGGGTTAAAGGGTGAATCAGCAGTTCTACATTAACTCCAGAGTTTATGACCATTTATTGTTAAACTGTGTTGAACGATCAGCAGAGCTTTATTTTACTGTAAAGGAGGATTATTTTATTTTTACCCACAAATCTGATTCTGCTGTGGAGCCACAACAGGGTAGTAAAAGAGCCACGTGTTACTGACCCCTGGTGTAGTGTTAGCACAGTGTTAGCATATCGTGAGCGATCATGTCCAGTGCACACTGCCTTTGATACAGCTCTGTATTGTAAACACTTCAGACGGGATTATCAGCTCTGTTTTGTCCTTTTCTTTTTTGGCTAAAACTGTTTTATGGAAGTTTAAAACTTGACAGCTCAGCAGTTCTGATTTAGAGCTGAAATTACAGACTTTCACTGCTGTTCATGTCAGACAAAAGCCTGATCATAACACTGTCCTCCACACAGTGTTAGCCAAGGTGTGAAATACAGGGGGTCTCGGGGGATTTGGGACCCCCTAATTAACCTCTTGGACATCCTGAATGTCTCAAAATCAAAATTCTGGGGGAATATAAACTATTATGATGTTCTGCTTTCTGTTAGAGAAAAACAGACACTCAAATCCAGATTCAGTGAAGCTGATTGTTTATCTGCTTCCCCCACAATCAGCTTCTGTCTCTGGTGTTCTTAACTAACTAGAGCTGCAGCACTGCTCTGCCTCAGGGTGGCGCTGTAGCAGACTGGTTCACCCAGTTGTTCCTTCATAGCCTAGAAACTGTAACTCTGCCCGGATTCCTCTGAAACACTTTACAATGAGCTGCAGCAGATCTGTAAATCTGAAACTCGCCCTGTTTCCCAAGAGTTTGGAGTGAAGAGTGACTGTTCCTCATTTCTCACACTGAAGACAGAAGAGGAGACGAGGAAGATCTCAGTTACTGTGAGGAAGAGCGCAGAACCGCACTAGAACAGAGACTCTACAGAAGAGGAGACGAGGAAGATCTCAGTTACTGTGAGGAAGAGCGCAGAACCGCACTAGAACAGAGACTCTACACAAGAGGAGACGAGGAAGATCTCAGTTACTGTGAGGAAGAGCACAGAACCGCACTAGAACAGAGACTCTACAGAAGAGGAGACGAGGAAGATCTCAGTTACTGTGAGGAAGAGCGCAGAACCGCAC